ACAGAGGTGTGCACATGTGCCTACATGCACCCACATCTTTTGCCTCAAGATAGTTTGCACTCAGAGTTTGATCAGACACACTGAAATGCTAAAGGATAATTTGTTTCAAAATAAAAGTTTTGGTTTACCTCCTGCACTATTCGTGTGTGATGAACTTAATCTATGCAAAGTGACTTTTCATATCAACTATCATACTCAAGAAGTACAAAGCAAAGCATGTATTTGCAGTACTAAGGCTGTAGACTGGGAATGCCAACGGCGCTACCCTTCCTTTAGATGAGGGTTCAATACATAAATACGCATTGATTTTCGTGGCCCAAACATACGAGGCAATTTGTTTCAGAGTATCCATATTACAATCCCATGTTCTCTTTGTTTCCAGACCACATTAGCAAAGACAGGTTATACAAGCATCAGTCTTTTACAAGTGCATTTCTTTCAAAATGCTAATATTGAAAATGACTAATGTTTATAAATTAATCAAAATTCAGGTATCATCAGAAGGATATCCTCCCCTCAACAGTGAAGTATAGTCAATGTGAGTCTAACAGAAAAGACCAATGGCAGTATTTCATTAGACTGCTGAGCCCACTGATCTGTTAATATAAATTCAGAGCTTACACTGATAAACAATACTACAAATATTCCTTGGATAAACAGATGCAAGACCCATTGCCTTAAGCAGGGTAGAAAGGCAGAACATAAATAGGACACAAATGACTAACTTGTTCCAAATAATTCACTGGGATGTTAGTCCTGATTAAGGGCCAAACTACTGAATTAATTGCAGTAATACAAATAATGTGCACATTTTTGTTGCAGCCAACGAGAAGAGTAAATAACGTCTAAACCTGGGAGGGGTTGATGGGAATGGAGTGTTTAACTCTCTCCTTCCCATGGTTCTGACAAAAATTAACTTCTCATAAACTGCTGTGCCAACTGCTGCTCATATGACTTTGGCAGGGAGAGAAAAAGTTGAACTCCTCCTTCCCACCCCATAAGGTCTGACGGCTGCTTAGGTTTCTCCTTGGTTGTTGGTATTTGCATAATAAAAACAATATGTTGATTGCATTCATGCAATCAATGTCACATCTAGTGTGGCCCAAGCGTCCTCTGAGTTGGGGCTCATGTCAATAGGATTGTTTCAGAACAAAATGAGAGCTGCAAACTCAAAATTGCAGCTTTTCATGTCACAGCAAATTTACACTTTGTAACTTGAACTTCACATGAAACATCAAACCCTTCTCCCCAAACGTATCTTGTTATCCCCCTCTTTACCTGCTGACTGCAGCATTAAGAATACACCCTGATTCCCATGTGAACTAATTAAAACAAAGCAATTGATCATTAAATCGAGTTATACACCTGTGGACAAAATCCTGTAAATATTAAAGAAGAGCTGGAATTCACATGGAATTGGCTTTGCAAACAATCCAACTTCAGCTATACTGGTCTAATTTTGTCTTAAAATCCACACCGAAAAACACACTTGTACAACTTGGTACACATTTTAAGGAACTGGCTTAAGTGCTGCCAGGCAGTCTTGCCAAAACACATTCATTTCCCTCTGTAGTATCTCCTCCACAAATTCAGACTCAAATGAAAAGCTACCAACAAATCCAACTAAACCTGGGGGGCGGGATACATACACACCACACACCTCTTACTTTTTGAACCAGTCATTTCTTGCCACAAAATTTTGGATGTGAAGTGATCAAAGTTCGTCTCATGCTCAAAAGTTGTAATTTCCTGAAGCAGTGCCCATTGCCAGCAATGGAAGCACTGCAGTCCCTGATGCCAATGCAAGCAGTGTGCCTCTTGGTCAAAGCAGAAGCAGTACAGATGGTGTAACTTGAAATGGGTTTTTAAAGTGAAGTGCAGCTTCTGGATAGTCTTAAACCTACACAATGCAGTGGACAACTTAGGTCCCTCTCTGGTGAGCTTCACTTAATGTAGTTTATTTACCGCGGAACCCGGAGTCCTTTTCCAGCAGCTCTAGAGTGCATGGATGGTTCTGATATGTGCAAGAGGGTGCTGCCTCATCCATCTCCATAACAGAGGAGGCTCCTCAATGCAATTACCACCAGGATCTTGTTGTGGTTTTGGACCCTACTTTCTTTAATGCAACATTAATAATTTCAACTGCAAATTTAAAATGGGCAGCAACGTGTGAGAGGCACTTAATTGTGTGTTTACGAACAATTACAAACAACAGCTTCATGGATGAATTTCGGAGCAGTTGTTGCATCGCTGGATAGTTTCTCCTGCTTTGCTGGACATTTATTTTCACACCCTTTTAGGAGGCCTTTACATTTTAGGAGACAATATTAAAAAGAAATAGGCATTTGTTTAAGCATATGATACTTGAATTAGTTTGCTGTCAGAGTAGGAGACAAATACACCTGCATCAACTTGTGTCAATAAAAACCACTTCAAACTCTTCTACTTAAGGGTTAAGGTCATCCAGATTATTTTAAGTTTAGTGGTAAAGTGTTTTGAATGTGTGGCTGGCACAGACTAGATTTCTCTCTCTTCTATGGCTGAAGAAATCTATGAAACAATAGGACATTCTGTCAACATTATAAGCTGTTTCCTAAATGTTTGTACGTTTTACTTTGAATAAATATTTAATGCCCTAATTTACTTTCCCATACATTTGTAGAGAAAGCGCTGGAAATCATCATTCAAAGAAAGAAGTGGTTCTGCCCTGCAGTATTGAGGCACCAGTATTAGCCTGGCTGTACATTGCAAATACCAAATATTTGCATAGCAACTCTTACATTTGTAGTAGTGACTGTTGCATGCAAATAATTACCTAAAGCTACAATCCTATATGCATACCAAGGAGTAAGTCCCATTAGACTCAGTGGGGCTCAGTTTTGGCTATATATATAGAACTGGTACCTTTTGGTTCCTACCAAATGTAAGAATTTTCAGTGGCTTTTTAAATAGAGGAGCTAGTAAAGGTGGTGCTATGAAGCCCTAGCACACAGTGAATTCTCACCAAGGTAGCAAACCTATCAAATGTGTGGTTCACACTATTGTGGTGGGAAAATCCCCTGCAGATGCAGAACTAGATGTCAAGGAGGAGACTAAGCTAGAACACTTCAACCTGACACCTAATTTTCTATTGGCATGGCTTTTTTGCCTGGGGGACTATTCAATTTACCATCTTAATGACAAGTAGACCAGTGTCTCTGTTGGCTTACCCTGGATTCCCTCATACATACACACAGCCACTTCTACCCGTGACATCTAGTGCAGATATAACTGGCAGGAACCTGTTTTTACATGTAGGCACATTCTTCTCACTATTTTGAATTGGAGGCATAGTAAAGTAAATTCAGACAAGAAGGGATCATTTTAAACAAACTGATTCAAGGACAAACCAAGAGCACAAGAGCACAATAAAGTAATTTGGGTAGCTATAATGTAAGTTATACATTTTAGCCATTAAAACCGGTTTGCCAATTATACTGAATTTTATACTAGCAAGGTCCACTCTGTAATCTTCCTCCTGTGGGCATTCGCTGCTTATTTACAATGACCACAGATGGTATGGGCCATGTAACCAAGCACCTCATCAGAATTTAATTCATTTCCCCATTCTTACAGTGTAGATAAAAAGCAGTGCAAGGGGACCATCCATGCTTAAATGAGCTGCACAGAAAAGTGGTTTGGAAAGCAGAGCAGTTTTAAGTTATTCAAAACAGAGGCTTAAATGTAAAGCTAATGAGTGGAAATGGGTTTTCTTAAGTTGGAAATAGATTAAGTGGCTGCCTGAAGTAACAGGGACTGTGTAGTATAATGTATAATATATAGGAATGGATCAATGAACTAAGGAGATGTATGCTAAATAATTAATTTGGTTCAAAAAAAAAAAAAAAAGGAGGAAGAGTGTAATCTTATAGGTAGTTTTTTTTATTAGATTGTTTCACCAGTAATATGGATCAGTACGTTTTAGCAGTAAAGTATGAAAATTACACACCTGTAAAAACGGCATCTAACAGCTATGAAATTAAGAAATTCCTTTTGCCATCCTGCAACATATTGTCAAGATAGAAATCCTGTTCCAGAAGAATGACGGAAATATATGTTTAAAATGGTGAATACTAATTGGAAAATTGTGACCTAAATGCTTTTGGAATAAAATGATCTGGTAGTATATTGTTGATTACTAAATTGTCTGTGGTGGTAAAATGATCAAATATTTTCCCATACTGAAATGCCACTGTGAAAATCTGGGGAATCAGTGAAGTTGTAAAACCAAAGACTGAGGTCAAAGCTCAAGATATGAGTCGCTCAGTGTTTCGGGAATGTAATTTAGTATGTGACATGGAAAGCAATTCCTAGGCTTCCATGCAGCCGAGAGGAGCAATTCAAACAATGCAGACCAGCTATTCAACCTCTGGATGCTACTGCACTTCAGTGTAGCTAGTGATCACCACACCACTTTGTCAAACAAGAAGGAAAAAAAACAACACTCATCCATGTTACTGGAATACAGAAGACCTATAATGATTACCAAAGTTATATGAAAATTAATAAACATTGGAGTATGTTTAGAGTACAGCACTGTTCTTGTAAAACAAAAAGAACCCTTCTGGTCTAGCATTCAAGACTTTAGAGTCAAGGCTCATAGTAATTAACAAAACTTCATGGCATTTCAACTAAAAAGTAGCATGTTTGTTGTCATGGAATGTCACATCAGGGTTTGCTTGCTTGCTTGTTTTTGTATTACAACTTTATAGGCAGTTAACACTGATCATATAGTGCAAACTAGATAAAATTGCGTTTCACTGTGTGAAATAAACAAGAGGTGCAAATGCTCAGTAGGATACCATTAAGACATAAAATGGCAAAAATAAATATCAAAACTTTTATCAGTGTAAAAAAGTAATTGGGTTATTGTATAACCTAGAGTCTGGCAAAAAAGGCCTCAAAAAAGTTTACTCAGTCTTCAGAAATTCCACAAATTAAGTGCCTTTTCAATATTCCAATTAGACAAGAGACTCCATGCTTTCTGCAGGATCTGATTCGTCGTTGGCCATAACAGCACCATTTTTGTCCAGTGCCATGGGGCCATTTCCGTTTTCCTTAGTGCTGACCAGGCTTAGCATTGCTTTGTAAAGAAATTGGTACTGCTCCTGGAATGGAAAGATCAGAACATTTAAAACAACCTAACATTCAAGGAAGAAAAATGTTCAACTTGCGTTTTCTAGGGGGGATCAGTATTGCTTGCTGTGCCCTAGCCTGACACCTTTAATCTTGTAGCTCTCCCATACTCTGATAACCCACAATATAAACATGGTTACCAACCTTGCATTAGAAAATAATCCCAAAGCCAGGTACAGTACCAATGAAACAAAATTAAGTCATGCGGCCAATTTGTTGAATAATTACAAAGTTGAGAGAACATTTACAAATAACTATTTACAAAGGGCAGTAACACAGATTCAACCAAAAGACTTGCCTCTTCAATCAATTTTGTTGGTTGTGCGTTACAGCTGGACCCCCGCCCACTTATTGCAATAGAATCACCCTCATCTTTTTTTCAGTCACCTCTCACAAACTACATCTTCAATAAAGGTTTGTTTACTCGCCTTCTTTTAATATTACGTGCACCTCCTTTCTGCTCTGATCTAGTCTAAAGAGTCCTGTGCTTCCTGTGAAGCCTACAGGCACAATGCAGGGATGGAAACATCTCTAATTTAACAGATGTTCATCTGGGACCAAAGCAGAGCACTGCCACTCATTCATTCTAACCCTTATCTGAGCATGTAAGTCTGAACACTGTGTAGCGTACTTAATGACTACGTATTAGAAACGAACATGTTTTGAAGTAAATAAAGGAGCATAGGGACAGAGGTTGATGGGGAAGCCGGGAGGGAAAAGAGCGAATAAGGTACTGCATTGTTTTGTTGTAATATTGTGAAAACTGTAATGAACTATAGTCTAAAAACCCCAAACCCTGCAGGAATATGACAAGTTAAAAAGTAGCTGAATGGTAGCACTGACTCCATGGATATTCTCCATCCTGGAACAAACTCTGTTTGTTGGATTTAAGAAGGAAAGGGTATTCCGACCCTAGATAAATAAAGGTCAGGGTCTAAGATGGTGCTTATTGCTGCACTGTGGTTCTTAGTTGTGCAGGATATCTGGCAGCAAAACTGGTGGAGACTCTATGACTGTATGTGGAAGAGGAGTCTTTTAGCTATCTGACTTCACGGGCACAGGGGCATGGGACAGTATGCCAAACATGTGCATAGATTTTATCTCCTTTTTAAAGACTTACAATGTCTGTAAATACTCCAGGCCTCATCAGATTGATCATCTTTGCCACCTGGAAAACGTCAACAGCATTTTCATTCTCCAGCTGCTGGGACAGAGTGGTAAGGGCACATAATGTTCCAGCCGCCACTGCTCCATACCTGCAAACCCACAGAACAGTTGCATTCAGATGCTCATAGGTGAATCATAAAGTCCCCTGTCAAGCAGCAATGAAAATCTGATGACTGTGTATCAGCTTTAGTTTTCTTTGAATTGCACCTATAATCTCTGCCAGATAGGTGTACCTATACTTGGGATTAGTTTGCTGTTGTATTAATGAATAAAATAAGTGATGATGTGGTCGAGTGCACAGAAGGAAAATTTTCATTTTCAGCTACATTTCCTCAGAATGCAGTTAAAAGTGGAACATATATTATGTATGAAGGCATAAAAATAAAAATCAGTGAATATAACAAATAACCCCAAAAGCAATTTACAAAGAAATGACTCAGCACTGTTAGAAATAGAGGTTTGATATTTTTTGTCTCACAAAATGCCCAGATCAATAACTGTCTTAATTTTGAATATTTCAAGAGCAGCAAAAGTATTCAGAATCTAGGTGAGCATTAAAACTAGCAATGACTTAATATTGTTTTGGCTAAAGCATCTGTATTTTATAATGCACTTTAGCAAGTCAAGATGTGAAAGAAAAGTCATATATAGAGCCCTTAATTGTTCTTTTCAGACCCATCTGTGCATGATGATAATACACCACACATCCAGCCATCATTTCCTAAGGAGAGGGACAAAAATAACTAAGTAAGAAAGTATGTAAAAGACACTGGAGGGACACACACTCATTAGTTGATTGCTGTGTTGGGCTGGGTAGCTTCTTGAATGAATGTCTCATCCGCACATTTTGTTCTGATTTGGAGAAAGAACCCAAGGTACACAGAGAAAGCACTTGATTTTTCAGCAATTTGCTTAGTAGGCCAGGATGTCATGGTCTCCATAAGAACCACTGACCTACCTCAATATCTAGTCCTACACATGCTGCAGGACACAATCTTGGTGGTTGCTTGTTCTGTGTAAGGGTGTAGGGTTGAAATAACACCACTGGCATGGACAAGTCACTGGCTGAAAAGGTCTTGGAGAGCCCATTATGATGTATCACCGTTGGTGAATAATTGTTCCTGATGGACTCCTGAGTGTTCTGGGGATTCTTCTACCAATATGGCTGTTGTGGCTGACCTCCAGAATAGGAAATGCCTTTAGCATTGACACAACCACTGCCAAGCACCCTGTTTCATGGGTAGAACTCAGGCTCATTGGTTTTCTGAAAAACCTAGGGTGATGCAATGACTGGCTGGGTAGCCAGAGTGACAGTGGAAAATACTCAAGATGTATTTAACCAAACCAATTATTGTAATTTTGTGTGTTGTATACTGCCTTGCTCTATTTTTTAATGAACATGTGGTCTATAGAAATGTGTTGAAATTCGTTCCAAGACCTATTCTATGGTGATGATGGCACCGAAGAAATTATACTTCTTAATCACCAGTGCATTGACATGGGTCAGTCAGTGGAGCTGTTCCAAGTGATGAGGAGATGGTTGCATGCTAGTCCACAAGTTAGCAAGGAGGAACCCTTGGCAGCCTGCTGTGACCACTTTGCAAAACACTTTGCTGATGAATTCACTTGCATGTATTCCAGCTTAAACTCTGCACTGGAAGCGGGAATCTATGGCTTTGTTTGAGGTTACTGCTTGTACTGTTTTGAAGGATAAATTTTAGCTTGTTTAGCCTGAGGCTAACCGCTTGCATTTTGGTCCGTGTCCATTGCGGCCGATTAAGAATGCCAGATGGGAGGCTGGCCAAGTGGGTGGTTGGAACTCTGAATTCTTCCTTGAATGAGAAATTAGTTGTGAGACCTTTATTGAAAAGCTTTCTCCGCAATGGTGGCAACTCAAACCCAAGCTTTCTTGGACAAGACTCTTATTATTTAGATCCTTTCTGATCTGGGTTGAAGCCCAGCTTGAGGACAGAAATGGCTTTGATTGCCTTGGTGGATGAAGTACTGGCTTCCAATTCTGTTACAGGCCCAATCTAAGATACTGAAATGGCTTGGGACCAGGATATGTAAAGGAAGGTCTATTTCTGCATGAACCTGCTAGTCAATCTTCATCAACTTCCAAAGCCCTGCTCTGCAAGGTGATTTTTTTTTTTTGGGGGGGGAAGGGTAGGTCCTTTTCACTGGCAGCACCCTAACTGTGAACTAGATTAGAGTGGCCCTTTCTCTGCTGTTCTTTATGTGAGTGATTAAGGCATTTTTGTTCTGTCAGGCTTTTAATGTGTCTTAAATTTTACCTAGTTATACTTTTGTTTACCTGTGCTATTTTGGCTTTATATGCTCTTTTTAATTGTGTTACTATTGTTATAAACCATGTTGGAGGCTCTTTTTTAGAGCCAATAGGTGGTACAGACTTGTTTTATAAACAAACAAATAAAATACTTGTGCCCCCCTTTCCACTAATCAGATGAAAGGCCAAATAAGCGTCCATATTTACTGTAATCTTTCTTATCCAATCTATAAAATGAATATGATTTGATGGATATACATACTCATCGTGAACAATGGTGGGGCCATCTCTTGTTAAGGCCTCTTCCTTGATTACATTGATAAGCTCAAAGGTACTGCTGATTGGGGCATCTGGGTTTGGCCATTTGGGACACTGAAAATGGCGTACTTCCAAAACATAGTCATCCTGAAACGAAAACCAACCCAACAGTTAATCGTTTTAATTCCACTTTTATGTTTAAAAATGCACTTCTAACATTTAGATAGATTCACTGATCACCTCTAGCTAAAAAGAAGTTAATCCAGCCTCGGATTGCTATGAGGAAGCATGTCTTGTCTCCTGCCCATAGAAGCAGGAACTCTCTTTCTGCAAGTGGCATGTGGTAACCTTCATTTTTATTTAAGAACAAAAGAAGTCCTTGCTGAATTAGATCAATGGCCCATCTAGCCCAGAGTCCTGTTCTCAGAGTGGCTAACCAGATGCCCGTGGGAAGCTTACAACAGCTGCCACGCACTGGGCTGACATCTTCATCAAACTATACAATCCAAGGTCTCGGTCCTGGTCACTTACCACTAGTCAGACCCCTGACTAGTGAAAGTAGTGTCTATGTGAAAGATGTTTTTTGCACCAACATGCATCACTTTTTACTTGTTTACACTAAATTGCATTTTCCATTCTACTACCCATTCATTCAGTCTAGAGAGGTCATTTTGGAATGCTTCACAATAGTTTTTTGTTTGTTTTAACAACCCTGAACAATTTAGCACCATCAGCAAACTTGACCACTTCACTGCTCACCCTTACCTCTCAATCATTTATGAACAAGTTAAAAAGCACAGGTCCCAATATCGATCCTTGCGGGACTGCATTTTCTATGTCTCTCAATCTGGAGAACTGACCATTTATTCCTCCTCTCTGCTTTCTGCTACTTAACCTACAAGAGGACCTCTTCTCTTAATTTATGACAACTAAGCTTATGTGGCCGCCTTTGGTGAGGAACTCTTGTCTAAAGCTTTTTAAAAGTGCAAGTCTGCTACATCAACCAGATCACATCTATATACTTGTTGACTATCAAATAACTCTAATAGGTTCATGAGTCAGGACTTAACATGTTAGAAGCCATGCTGATTCTGTTCAACAATGCTTGTTCTTCTATATGCTTGGTGTGTTTTTTTATTTGTTAACAGTGCTATGCACCAGTTTTGCCAGGACAGATGTTAAGCTAACTGGCCTGTAATTTCCAGGACACCCCACTCCTGCAATCTCTTTTAAAAAAGGGTGGCTACTTCCCAGTTCTCAGGATATGGAGGCTGATCAGAGGTGGAGGAAAAGTTACATATGTTTGTTAGCGGTTCATGAGGCAGCATGGTTGGGGCATTTTTGCTCTCCTGGCTTCCCAACAGACTGGGTTGTTGGCATGGAGAAGGGAGAAGTGATTTCTGGGGAAGCTGGCCCATTGTGAGTCACAGTGTGCTGGCAATCTGATGCTCCTGCTGCCATGCACTGCTTGGGCCAAACTCCCTGCACTCTTACCCTCTTCCTCTCAGTAGATGCCAGCAAGCTGCTGTGTTGGAAAGCTTGGAGAGCAACTGTGCCCCACTTGTGGGGCCTTGGCTGCTCCTGCACTGATCATTTCTCATCTGTCTCCATGGTGCTCGCTACGGACTTGCAGTGCATATGCTCACAAAAGAGTGTAAGAATAGAGAAAAGGCATGATGGGGTCAACTAGCTCTCTGGCATGCCCACTTGCATTTAGAAGTTGCAACTTGCTATATAAAGAATAACTGATCTCCTTACTTAGGAGTAACCTACTTGCAGGTGCCATTTGTCCAGAAATTGCACAGAACATTGCAGAGAAGGTAACACCGCTTAAAACTGAGTGGGGAACCTGCAGCCCAGTTTCAAAACTCTACCCACTTTGGTCCCACACACTGGTGGTGTGGCCACCAACAGATTACACCCAAGGGAATACAGCCCACAACACAAAAACGACCCCCCACTCTTGCCTTAAGAGGGAATCACTTGCCCCAAACAAAATCTAGATATTGATACCTAATAACCAACTCCACTTGTGAGGCCCGCAAAAGCTGCTTTCAATAGCAGTGATGCATACAGAGAAATAGCTAATGAACATGCACCCTTAGTACATTCTTCTTAAAAATGAAAATAAAACCAAGCCCTTGGTGTGATTCCTGTCTGAGGAACTTTCACCTTTGGATCAGATAAAAGCTGAAATGTTATGACCTTCTGTGGAAATGGTATACTGAAAACAAAACTGGTATGTGACAGGAGAAGACCTCTGGGAAGAAATGAGGGAAACTGATAAGTCCACTATAACCAAACAAAGACATTAAACCAATCCCACTGAAACGAATGCATATCAATTGTTAACTGACAGCAGCAGTACTTTGAATGCCAAGCAGACTCCAGATTCACCTCTGGAGGATGTTTTATATACCTGGGTAGCCTCAAGGATAAAGTCATGGATGATGATCTGCTCCTCATTAGAGAGGCACAGTCTGTCTTTGCTGATAAGGGTCACAGTAAATGCCTCACAGTTCATGGATTCTTCTCGACTTGGCCAGTACACAAATTCATCCTCTGCCTAAAGACAAAATGAATCAAACAGACCTTTTTGGTATATTTCTTTACTTTCTACATGAGCAAAATTCAAAGAACCAAAACTTGGTTTAATAGGAAGAAATACAAATTGATCTTTCTTTCTTTTTACAAAATGTATCCTGTTAAAACAACAGTATGAATATCATAGGGATACTCTGAGCTTCCCAATCAGGGCAAGTTTGATATTTAATTGGTTTCACAGGGAACTGCATATTTTAGAACATTTATAAAATTAAAATTTTATAGAGAGGTACAGATTTTGCAGAAATACAATAACATTTTATAATGTGGTTTTTCATGTCTTAAGGTAAGCACCTGCTCGAAGCCACAAAGGTCATTAGATATTGACATGTTATTTCCTTTATTTGCTATCCATAGAGCCCTTTAGGGCTTGATTCAAAGCCTCAAAATTCCCTTTTATAATAGTAACTTCAGGACATACAGAGTTACTATATGTGTATAACACACACACACACACACACACGTGCACACACACACACCCTACAGTTGTACTTCATGCTATATATTTTTAAAGTATTGTAAGTTCACAATGAATTTTGAAGAATAAAAATTAATTTTCAAAATCAGTACATTAAAAACATAACACCACACATATACACACACCCCTCATTCTTAACAGCATTGATCCAGATAACCTGATTCTGGTTTGGGAAATCCAACCAAAATAAAACCTGCTTAGGACAGCACAAACTTAGTTAAGGGCACATAACTGTTAGAATCTACATCTTACCCTGAATTCAGTGTGAATACCTGAGAACAGGGGTAGCCAACCTGGTACTCTCCAGATGTTGCAAATGAGCATTTCCATCAGCCATAGACAGAATGGCCAATGGTCAGGAATGATGGAGGTTGCAGTCTACAATATCTGAATGGCACCATGTTGCCTACTCCTGCCTTAGAAAATGACATTGTGTCCCAACCAGTGACGAATGCTGGCAGACAAAGAGCCCTGGAGCAGATGGAAATGTGGGCTCGCTCTCTTGTTCTTCTAATCAGTTTTGGAGTTCATATACCAGAAGCCCACAGTTCCAGGAGAAATACCACCAGAGTCATGGGAGGAATACAGATTCTAGTCCTGTGCCATAGTCCACAAATCCATTAGATATTATGGGAAGGTGCAGATAAATCATGACTGCCACTTCACTGCTCACTAAGAACCATTATGCCAACAACTCACTGTGTGTTTCTGTCTTTCTACACAACCAATCAACTAGGATAACAACTATTTAGGCACCTGCAGTAATTTAATGGAAATGACAACATACTGCTCAGCTGTTTTGTAAGATGCCCGTCTATAGAGCTCCACTGCAACAGTAAACAAAGTAATTTTACATGTTCTGTTGTTCAAGAAGATAAGGGCAGGCAGATATTATTTCTCATTGGCATTTGAGAAAGAGAGGTCACAAATGGAGGTTGATATCCCTGAGGGGTGACCGGTGCAAAAGCGCTAAAGTTTTCCTTTCCTTTTGAAAAAGCTCACTGGATAGACTTTGCCTTCACAGTAGGGCAGCACAGAACTGGGACATTTTGCAGGGATGCTGACAGAACACAACAGGTTTCCTCCCTCCCACTGTCTTCCCTCAACTTCTTTCCCAGGCGTCTTTGGATACTGTGGATTATGGAGCTGTTAAAGGAGACATCAACTATGCTTTGCATTGAAATACAGCCATAATATGTAGTTAAGTGGCCCAGTTCTTGCTCCCTGCTGTGATACATCATTAATATAAAGTATGTGGAGTTAAATAACTTACAAAGCTCTGGTTATCCGGAAGCATGACAATGATCTGTGCATTGTGATCCCAGATCATTCTCCAGAAATCTTTAGTCGTGTGTGGCAGGGGATGCTGTGTAATGATGAACTCGTTGCTCCGATAGTAACCCTTTTAAAGCAAGAACCAAATGCAGCAGTTACTCAGTGCATAGAATAGTTTGGAAACTTCATGGATGAGAGCAGACAATACAAGTTTATTAGATTGCTAAATTTTCAAAGCTCCCTGCTGTGTTAATTTATCCTAAAACAATACTGGAGAATATATAAACGAAAAATAAACTCTATAAACATGTTTCACTTAACTGAATAGTTTCCACCAGGAACGGCAACCCACTGAGTGTAGAGGACCACAGTGGAAACAACTAAGATGAGCTGCAACTAATATTTGTTTACCCTAATTAAAAATAATGGATTCAGCACAGTTATTAGATATATTGCCTTCCTTCTGTGATGCCACTTGTTCTAGTTTCTGGTACAGCAAATGTCACTTCAGATGTTTAAAAAAAATTCCTCCAGTAGAATGACACTGTCAATGACAAAATATGCAAATGACACACAATATGCAACTATGAAGAATATGACTGGCCAATGTAGGGCATGGCCTATCCCTCCTGCACAGCAGCTCACAGAGCAGTGCAAGCAGGGCAGGATCTCCACAGGACTGAATGAACCTTTTAACTACACCATAGTCCTTGGCTGGGACATATATCCATTGCAGCATGCTGGTTATTACCTGGAATGGGAGATGTGCTGGGCTCCTCTCATTCTACATAATAGCTGGCATGCTTTAGTGAACATCTGCCCAGTCAAGGGCTGGCAAGGGAATCAGAGTTAGAAGACTCAATTGAAGCTCTGTGGTGATCTCATCCCATGAGCTGTGCATGCAGGAGAGGATGAATTGTGTACCTAATTCCCTAAGTTATAAAAAATGAATTTCTTTTAATTCTAAGCAGCACTGTATAACGTTTGTTGCACACAGTGGCTGTTCTTTGGAAAAAAGAATCACCTCATTGAAAAAAGAAACAAAAGAGCTATTTGCAACAATAGATAAAACCAACTGAACAATTTTATATTCGGTTACTTTCTGTTGATTTTCTTACCATAATATAAGAGGCATTAATGTAATCAGTTCCTTTCATTCCAGGTAATGGTGCCAGTCCCACCCTTGCTCGTTCAGCTGCAAACAAACAAATGAACAGACGAAAAGCCCATATCAAACAAAACTCACAATCTTAGCACAGCTATCATAACACAACTCCTATTTCTCCCAGGGCCAGACCCAGTATCATAAAATTTGCTGAGCTCATGCAGGAGATAAAGCTATAAAAATGATAAAAATGAAATGTTTGCACAAGGATATAATTTCAGCAATAAAATTTTACTACTTTCTGCTATCCCCAGATGCCAAATAATAGTTAATAGCGAATTCCCTCTCCACTATGAAATTCACCCAGGGCCTTGGGCCAGATACTCCCAGCCTAATTTACATCACAAGTTTGTTGTGAGGATAAATAGAGTCAGGACTATGTGCCTTGAGCTCCCTGGAGAAAGGGCAGAGGATGAAAATGTAATAAATGAAATAAAGATTTGATGATGATCAGATCATTTATGGGCAACTACACACAACAACATTTGATTTATTTTTGCTGCTCTCATCCCTTCCCAAAAGTAGCGACAGCAGCAGCCACTTCCCTAACTTCAGGGCAAGTCAGCAGCTATCCTCTGAGAACCACATTAATTGAAGTTAACTACCACAGAATGCACACACACAGCAGTGGATTTATCTAGACCAGGTATGTCCAAAGTCTGTTTCGAGGGCCTAATCCAGCCCGCTGGTCGGTTTAATCCAGCCCCCGTGGCAGTTTATTTCCTGGGGTAAAATCCTAAAAAAATCTCATCAATTCTAAATTCAACCCTAAAAAAGCTCAACAACTTTGGGGTAAAATCCTAAAAAAAGTCAACAACTTTGGTCGGCCCTCACGGCCCTTCACTTCATCAAATCTGGCCCTCTTTGAAAAAGGTTTGGATACCACTGGACTCTTCTAATGACTGCAGAGGTAGCCACGCTTACCAATTCTTTTGCGGAGTGAGCATAAAAAACTTCAGCAAAGCAGATAAGCAAAAATACTTGGATTTCAGCTGATGTAGGCGACTGGTGTCAATGACCCCATATAAGTTTTGCCTCCCAGCCATTGAAGCGCTTCTAAGGATCAACTTAATATTTCAGATGTAATATTTTTATTGTAGGACTAACACAGACAAATCATCCTTAATGATGCATACCCCATTTACTTATTTAGATTTATTCACCCATTGGCATGAAGAATTGGGGTGAATTACAACACTTTGAAAACCAATGCCATAAATATTTGGGACCTGCAACCAAAAGTTGCAGCATGCAGACCTCCTGTTCAGTGTCCCAGCCAGCCATGCTCTCCTTCACAATACTCTGTTCCATTCCCACGCCTGCCTCGTTTTCCATCTCCCCACCAACAAACAGCATTATATGGCTATTGAGCATGGGCAGAATGCATTGAGCTGTTCATGGGGGGGGGGAGTCTTTTCTCTTAGGATTTTTTCTTCCCTAAAATTATTTTGCACTTCTGAAAGTGCTGATAATTGAATTTCTGCAGGAAAAGACAAGTGAAAATTCCTGGAAACTGTATTAAGTTCCCTGAAAATATCTGAAAATACTTCATCACTATATTAAACTCTTATACTTTCACTTGGTTCAAAACTTATTTGTATTTATGCATTGGAATGCATTAACATTAATCCAGCATCAGGAGCCACAAATCAGATTTATATTTAAAAAGAACTCTGACCTCCACCAACAGCATACAAATCAATATGGCTAACCTGATCCAAAACACCCACCCACCTCACTCACACATGAAAACAAAGATCACCACAGCCAATCACAAGCAAACAATCACACCCTAGGCCAACCCCAACCTCTCTCACCACCAAAGGAACACAAGTGAACAACACAAGCAACGCTGACACCAAACTCTACATACATTAAACATAATAGAAACACCGCCACCCGACCCCACCCCTATCCATCTTCCCTCTCTCCACCCCCTTTCTTTTTCTTTTTCTTTTTCCTTCTCCCCTAATGCCTCAACAAATGAAATGGATTTGTAAAAATGTTACATGGAAAGAAAAAAATACGAGGCACTACACTTCTGTAAAACAAGAAAATCCTTAATAAAATATATATATAAAAAAAAAGAACTCTGACCCAATAGCACAAAACAATCCAATTGAGGGCCCACATCACTTCATGCAAACACAATTCAGAATTTAGCACAAGGAAATTATTCAGCACAACAATCAGACTTTAAGATGTGATCTTACATGGCACAACTGATGAGTTCCTGTTCTTTTCTTTGTTGCAGTCCTTCTGAGCACTGAAGCACTCCACATACTTAGCATTGCATTGCATAACCAGCTAAAAAAATAAGCAAGAGTGATTAAGTCCTTTGCAGTTCTTTCTGTTTCTCACACATGCACACACACAAATATTTCTTATTTCTGGGGGAAAATGCATCTCTGGAAGACTAAACTGTAAAATATGCTAAAAGCATTCAAAACGCCAAGATGAACTGAACTTTCTGCCTAAAGAAAGGTACTTATACAAACACATGTTGGGCCCTCAAGTTTGCATAGGTCTCATTTATATCACGCAGGGTGAATGAAATTCCATTCCAACCTGGTTTGACAATGTCGATTTGAGTTCTGCTGAAGACATATTGCAAAGCCCCAAAGATATATGTAGGTCAGAACAGGTCTCAGGAAACAAAAAAGCTCTCTCTGTTCTTTTATAAAACATCAAAACAAGACTACGCCTAAGGAATTTTCCCTCCTTGCTGCTATTGTGAACCTGAATGCTGCAGCTGAGATCAGTTATTCCTGGGCTTGCCTATTTTGCCTGCCAAGTTGACTGTGATACTTTCATGGTAAAAAGTGAGCTTACTGTGACTGCTTCTCGAGATACTTCACAGACAAAATCATCAGATATTTTGTTCCCACTTGAGACGCCAGAGTTAGTGATATTAAATTCTCAAGAATAATCTTTTGGAGAATATTCTTGACTAATGTGAATATTAGAGAATTTTCATTTAAAATAGAATATTCATTTTAATGCACTGAAAATTATATAATTTAATGTATTCAGAATGATATAAGTTGTTAATATACATTTTTATTAATGGGTAAACTTGTTTAGATGGCAACCAAAAATTGTACAGATACTTTTATTCAATGGGGCAATAACATGAATTTACATTCTTTGATTTTTTTTGCACCAAACTTGAAATTGAAAATTCAACGTGAATGACTCACCACTAACCATATATTTAGTAAAAGAACCACAGTGAAAATATATAAGCACGAACATACTTGTCACTTGCAAGTATCAAATAAAAAAGTAAAACATGTTTTATAGTTAAAGTTAAATCATTCTAAGGTGATGGCACTAGTAATTGTCATGCTAAGGTTTGGTATAAGAAAACTCAGTAGTTAAATCATATTTTATTTTTCCATTAGAACATGTACATATTACAGGACATGTCAAAAAATACAATTGGCATGTTAAGGTTTGATACAAGTAAATTCAGTAATAGTCTATCTTGTGCTCCTAATAGCTCTAACACTTAATAACTGTTTTGGTGACTAAAACATAACTTGATAAACATAACTATATGCGTACATATAAAAAAGAAGCCATTAACATTAAATATATTATCATTATATGATAATATAATGTCAATCTCTGGTAAATGGCACCTTATACCATTGAATGTGGAGAATATTCTCCAGAGAATTTTCTAGCAGAGAATATTCTCACCTCACATCACTAGCCACCGTTAATGCAGGTTCAATAAGTGTAAACCTGGGTCCTACTTGCTCTACTTTTTATGGATAGTTTTTCACTTGTGTCACTGAAGATGTGGACAAGATCAAGGTGTTACTTTTAGTACAGAGAGCCCTTAACAGCTTGAGACCAGTTTACTTGTGAGATCGCCTTACGTTACATGTGCGCTCTCAATCGCTTCAATCTGCAGAATAGGCACCGTTACAGATGACACACAATACTCATACCACAGTTGTCACAAATCAGTCTTTCAGTGTGGTGGCGCCTATACTTTGGAATTCTCTGCCTATTGACATCAGGAAGGTGCTTTTGCTGTACACCTTTTGTCACTTGTTTAAAACATGTTTCTTTAGCCAAGCCTATAATGGCACGTAGATGCTGATGTGTTTTAGATATATGTTTTAAATGCGTTTAAAATTCCACCCAGTCTGTAATATTTCATTCTTAGGAAAGGTGCTTAGGGTGCAATGGTGATAAACCTGCAGGATCTCTTTAATGACACAGATTATCATGTTCCATTTCAGTCCCACTTTAGGCAAGATATAGGATGGAGACGGCCATGGTCACTTTTGTGGCTGACCTTTTCCAGAAGCTCACAAGGGAGAGTACCCCTGCTGGTTCTGCTGGACCTATCAGCAGCTTTCAGCACCATCTATCAGGTTGGGATAGCCTCTGATCCACTTCCAGGCTCTGAATTGAAGGATGAGTATTATGTCCTAAATGGCATAGGACTGGGATATTTAAATGCCCATCTACTCCTAGGTGAACTTGCCTTACACATTAAGACAACTTCAGAGGTGTAACCAAAAGTCTTTTCATCAGACCATTCCTCCCACCCATCCGCATTGATAAAGTACAGTTTTGGTCTGATCACTTTATCCCCCTAGGAAAGGCAGCAGGGCTGAACAAGCTAAGAATGAAGCTTACCTTGAACTGTTTCTCTAGCCGAGTCTTTCCTCCAATTCCAGGTATGAGAATGCTATTAACATAGCTATGTAGCTGGTTAGCAGAAACTTCAGTCTCTTTCCCAAGAATGGCTTCCAACAAGGCATCATGAATAAAAACATACTGCTCCTAGAATGGCAGGAAGCAAATAAAGAATGAAAAAGCAAGCCCATAGTAAGTGGAGCATAGCTTCTTTAAAGGCAACTGTGTGAAGACTGTGTGAAAAGCGCTAGTTCACCTCCGAGTGAGGTTTGTACATCTACAGCTCTCAGAAGGGCCTTCTTGGTGCTGGCTTCCTGACTTTGGAATGCCTTCCCCTCTTGAAATCTTTTTGACACCAATTTTGGTTGGTTTTGGTGCCAGCTGAAAGCTTGCCTCTTTAGCCAGATGTATTAGAACACTGATTTTTTGGAGTAAGGTGTAGAGTTTAGAACTGTTGCCTCGCTAGTTTGATTTTATGTTCACTGTATCCCAACCTGGACCATTTGCTTAATGAAGGGCAAGTTAAAAATGAACCAACTAAATAAAAATACTGCTTAGATAAATTTTCAGATTTTCCCCATAGTTATCTCTGCTTGCTTTTTTTTCTTTTGCAGCTTGCTGTTCTGCTTATTTTTTTTTTTTTTATGTATTGAATTTCCCTTTTCTTCCTGTACGCCTCAGTTCCCTTCTTTTTCTAAGACTATTTTCTCCTTTACTTTTACAAAAAAGGAAAGTGGTGGTGGTAGTGAGACTTGCATCAACTTTAATCAATTGCTGTTCACCTTTACGAAAGTTCTCTGTGTTATAAAATATACATTACCTTGGCATACTAAAGGCCTTGTGGATACTAAAGACTGTAAGCTTTTGGGTCTAGTATTTTGAAAATTCTCTGTGAAGTGCTTGGTTTATTTTAAAAGCGACACAATTGCTAAATAATAATACGACAACGACATGCATTTGCAAACTGAATTCACAGAAAAACATAAGAAATGCAGTATGTAACCTATGGAGATATTTCAGTGGAAATTACACTTGGCAGACCCTCTTGCAATATTTAATTGGCGACAATAGCTTGCTGCGGTAAAAATAAATGTGTCTCTGTGTTTTACCTCTGTCTGGACGAGGTAGTTGCGCTGTGTCCTGATGTGTTTCAGGAAACCCAGGGCGTTAACTGTGCTTTTGTCTTTTATCTGTTGCAGCATACTGTCTATAACAATGTAGGTACCAGTCCTGCCAACACCAGCGCTGACAAAACAGAAGTTTCAGGAGAAAGGCTAGTTAAACACTAATAAAGAATTGCAACACCATGCTAATATTGATATACAGTATACGCTTCTTTACATTCACAAAGTCTTGCTCTTTAGATTTTCTATAATATGCAATGGCCAACTTTCAATTTGCTTGTAATTGCTGGGATCTTAGGTGTTTCTTTGAATCCTCGCACAAGGAACCTTAGCTCCCAGTGAATGCAGCTTCTGGGCCAAAAAAAGGTTGGCCAGTCTTGCTCAGCATTTAAAGACAGGTCAGCTGGTAAGATTCATTTTCAGGATTTCAAGATTCATACTCTCCAGGTTTGAGAGAAACAAGACTATGTGCGACTTGGTGGTGTAGCGGTTAGAGTGTTGGACAAGGACGTGGGGTGCAAATCCCCGCTCAGCCAGGAAGCTCAACTTGGGCCAGTCACAGCCTCTCTGCCTAACCTACCTCACAGGGTTGTTGTGGGGACTAAATGAGGAGGGGGAGAATCATGTATGCCACCTTGAGCTTCTTGAAGAAAAAGGTGGGCTATGAATGCAGTAAATAAAATAATATATTAAATAAATATGTGAACATGCAAATATCTGCAAATTTAGGAAGTACATGTAGCACACAGCTACTCTTTCCCAAAAAGGAGTCTTACATTTTGCAATCAGAACATATTAAGGAATCCCACTGATGAAAGTAGGATTCATTTACTTTTGCCCTTTCTGACAATTAAAAAAGCTCCAAAACATTCAACCCTTTAGCGGTAATTCAAAGATAAAAAAAATAAGCCAAAATGTAAGAATACAGCATGTTAAAACAACAATACATTAAAAAGTCTGGAAAAGTTTAAATGTCTTCATCTGATGAATTCTTTTCTGAATCTGTTGTGGTTAAAGAAAAAGTTGCAAATGTTCTTGAGCAGCTGGTGTGGCATAGGGCAGTTCTGGATTAAACCTATTCGGTAGAACCTGAAAGCTCTGTCCCATATAATGACAGCAAGCGATCACAGCATGAAATCCTGCAGCGAACTGCATAATCCTCTAGAATTCAATGAAAACTGCCCAGTTCTGCTATGGATTACAGAATTATCAGATCCCAGAAAGTCATTCATCTATATAAGAGAATTTCACCCAGCAAAGTGATGTGCTGTGCGGGACAGTTAATAAACTTGTATTGGACCAGAGAAATTGAAGTTCAAACTGTGGTTCAGCCAATGATTCAGTGAATGGTGTTGATAAATCACAATCTCTTCCTATTGCAAAATGAATATAATTGATTGTAAAGTGCACGATACATATGGGAAATACTGTTATGCTCTACTTCAGTTGTAGATTAATCTACAACATGTTGCACGCAAAATTAGACTGAACTTGCCCAGCTGTACCTGCAGTGCACAACCACTGGGCCCATCTCAGCAGTCCTGGCTGCAGAGGATCTTCTTACAAATGTCAGCACTGGCAGTGCATATTCAGGCACACCCATGTCGGGCCACTGTGTGTAGTGATACTGAATGACCGTCCGTTCATTCTGTCGTCCTTTAGGGTTCCCCTAGTGAGCCAGAATATATGAAACACATACAGGAGGAAAACATATTAGTTGGGGATTGAACTGCACCATGTTCAGGTGTGAGATAAGCTTTAACCAATGCCTATTCTTCTAATTTTTTTTTAAAAAATCATTTTCACCTTTTGCAAATATTTTAACAAGAGAAACAAAATCTTTGCAAGTCTAATTTACCTTCCCCTCAACTTCCCTCCTTTCTGCGGTTATTTATTTTATATCTTTTTATTACTGCACATCTAATTCAAATATATTTACTAATTTTCCCTTATCTTCCCCTTAATTATCTCTTATTGTGCATGTTTATATCAGTCCCACTAATGTTTTGATTTGTTTACAGTGTATCTTCAAATAGTCAATAATTTCCCCCCATTGTATTTTTAAAAGTCTCTCTTCTTGATTTCTTACTCTTTTGGTGAGTTTCTCAATTTCTTCTTTTAACTTGCTGCAAAAATATATAAATAAAATCACGATACTTTTCTAAGTAGTCTAAGTAAGACTAAATAAATCACTGGCAGAAAGGTTGGTCTTTCTTGGTTTTCCATGCCCATGTGCCCCACACCTGACATCATGTTTGGTGTAGGTGTGGGCAGGTGAAGACATACTGGTAGCTGGATTGACTGCTTGTGCAGCTGATCCCTGCAAAAAGCAGGATTGAACTCTACATGCTTGAGCTGAAAAATAGGATTACATAGGCAAAACAACTGCCTAGCAATGACTCTCATTCTACAAGCACAGCCATTATTCAAATACCTGCCTCTGTGACCTTTCTTTGTGCATGTAGGGTAGTTGAGCACCCCCAGAACCAATTTACTAGTAGAGATATCATTCCATGCCAGAATGAAAGCTCTTCCATTTTATGACAGGATGCCATTGTGGCACTGCAGGCTTTGGACCTTGGGGTCTCAAATTTCACTGGGGCCCTGTGCAATGCCAAAATTTGGCACCCCAGCCTCTTGTGGTCCATTCTAAAGCATAGTTGTGACATGCCCAAGGCTCCATATCCAGTGTGACCGAACCACAAAATTGCGCTCCCCTAATTCTGCCTCTGGGGTGGGGCCCCTGGAACATTTGAGGACCTGCTGCGACTGACTGGTTACACAATATAAAGTTGCTCAGCTCTGGAGTGAACTTGACTCTGTAGTTGTTTCAGTTGCAGAAGAAATATCCAATGTAAAGTGCTGGTGATGTGTTGTGGGATTGGTTTCAGCTTATGCAGTCAGCTGATGTGGACAGGGTGCTGGTGGATACATACCCGTCCATGTGTCCTCTTGTCCCCCATCCCTCCTGCCTTATTAAATCTAGGAGAGTGCATTTGAATGGCTGGGTCCAGATATTTCATCAAAGAGATATACAGCAGCTGTGTATATCGCACCCAATAGCATATTCCTAGTGTCTATCCTTTGTCCAAACCACAATGCAATAACTTCTCACCTTTTTCATTTTTGCATTCCTGACTGTGAAGCGGCGGACTGTATAGCAAGCATGTATTTTTGTGCTCTTCAATGTGACAATGATATTGCCATATTCTTCACTGTTTTCTGATGGCCAGTATTGGTCACATTTTCTCTGAGAAAAGACAGAGTAGCATAGGATATTAGATTTTGAAGCGTGCTAGAGAACACAAGACCAGCAACATGCTAGAAAAGTCTTCCCTCCTTTTTCAGATGACTCTGGCCTGAAACCAGTATCAGCTGCAGCTTCTCAGCTGATGGGCCAGTTGAGAACGCAGGGAAGCGGTTGTCATCTGGAATGCCCTGGCCCCAGTTACCTTTTCTGCCACACAGGGAGTGAGTGTGAAAGACAGAACAACAGAGCCATATTCCATCAGCAGCTGGAGTGGAAAGCTGCACCTAAAAGTTGCCTCCCCTTTGTGCCATCTCTTAGTGGAATTGCAAAAGTGAGTGCTTCTTGTTTTCTTGGCCTTTTGTTGAACTTAGGTTGCAAGGGCACATTTGGTTTGAGGGTTCTTTGGAAATTATCATTGCCCGCAATGCCCAAACATGGGCAAGTGTGGAGGGGGGGATGGTACATTTTACTGGGGCCTGGAGAACTACAAGGCTGCAACATCATTACTAGAAGGACAACTGAGGCTACGTTGCAGCCCAGAGAGACTGTGCTCGTGCAGTTAAAAGGGAACTTGCAGTTTGAGGGAGAGATTTGTGCTTTTCCTATGTGACTTGCTCACTGAAGATCCATCAGTCTCAAAGTTCCTTCTGCAGAGGAAGGAAGGACGGAGAGTTGATGGGGAGGACAAAGCAGAATAGGGTTATTGATCCTAGGGCTAGAGGAAGTCAGTGCTACATGTAGGATTTGCATGCCCAAAATATATGTGAGTAAATGTCTACTTCATAAGTATCCTACAGATCTTCCTTAGAACTTTCCTTGTGAAACACCGCATCTCAAAAAATCTACTTTGGGAAGAGTGTGTGTGACCTCTGCTTATCTAACTAAATTAGATTTACCAAAAAAGCAGCTAACTTTTGGTGCAGTGTGTGTTAAGCTACCTAATTATTTTGTCTATTGTGTGCGAACTTGCAAGGTAAATTGACTTGGGTGAGATAATTCATGATTTCTCAATGAAAAAGGCCAGAAAAATAAATCTCTGAAGTGAATTGATCTATTTATGAAACATTTGCAGCTTGTTAGTCTTCTAAAAAAAACAAAAACCAAAATCAAAGCATCAACAGGATAACAACTTCATTACGATCAACCAAAAAGTTACAAAATAATCAGCAAGCTTCAAATAACTCTTCTGCTACCAACAATGGCAAATAGTGTGTATATATTTGGGCCTTAGTAAAAAGGTCCTAGTGTGGACCGTGCTCTGTCAGGCAGTTACCTTAGGTGGCAGATGTGGGGTTATAAGAAGTGATGGAAAACAGAGTTATTTGTGCCACGCAGCCTGCCCTGCATCCCTAAATTAGCCTGCTGTCCTCTGACGCAATGAGGAATGCTGACCAATTACCAGTGTTGAAGTAAGAGTCAGCTGCCAATCTGGCTGGCTTCTGTACATGGAATTGTTCTTTACCCCGGTCGGCCAAATGCCTTTGGCCAGCTCTGGCCATGGTAAAATTTCAGAGGTGGAAAGTTTAATTAAAATGGAAACTTTTCCTTGGTAACATGCTATTCTATGTATGGGTTGTGATCATAGTATGTATGTGGCAGGGGGTCTGCACTGCAAGTTTGTACTGGGCTCCCTAAAATAATGCTTGGACCATGATCCCTTTTCTTATTGCTGATAGCATGAGTGCTAATGTTGACCTCATTTCAGTCTCTTGTCTGGCTTGTAGCATGAGGATTGGTCTTTTTAGAATGTTCTGGATCTGGCTCATTTCCTGCATTTTTAAAAAAGAACCCTCAGATTGCTCTAAGCGGCTTTGAGGTTGTTGGGTTTTTTTTTTGCTATTTGCCTGTGCTCTGGTATGCTGACTGTGAGAGTAAGTTCACCAATGTACTGGGCATTAGTGTACTTTTGGCTACCACTTAGGGGTGCTGAAGCTGTGTTCTGCTGGATGTTGTGAATTTTTATACTGTTCTATTAAGGAAATGGTGCTTATCCACAGGTTCCTGTATCTATTAAATTGATGGTTAGGTTATTATGTACCAAATACTGTTATTTTGTATCAAATACTGTTATGTTTATTGTATTGACTGTCTGACATACTGTTTGGTATGTATTATTGATAGTGTGTTTTAATTTTTATTGATGTTGCATTTTTATATATTGTTGCTATTATTTTTGTTTAACTTCGTTACGTTGTTCATTTGAAACTGCTCTGAGAATAATTTTTATGGAATCACAGCATACATATAAGTATGGTAATACTGATGACAGAGAATTCTTCTGGTGCTCTCTCTCTTCCAAACTTGGTTTCCTAGGCCCTCCTTTGTTCAGTGGTATGCTGCCTTCTCAGGAACCTTCTTTGACGCCTCTTTCTCTAGGGCACAATCAGCTCAGCCAGTGTCAGCCTTCTGCTTCCCCAGATCTTCTGTGACCTTAGGAGAGCTCAGCCTATCACTGCTAGAAGCAAGGCTTCAAGCATCACTACCACCACACCCATCCCCTTAGTCTTACAGATCACATAATCACAGCGAGAAAAGTAGCTAGTGAAAAACTGCATTGCCCTTACTCTTCCTTTTTCCACAAGGTTTGTAATCATGATGATAATTCCAGTGTTTTGCTCCCAAATCATTCTCCAGAAATCTTCAAATGTAGACTTTAAAGGTCCTTGGGTGGCAATGTAGGCTTTCGCTTTGTTGTAACCCTTCAAAGAAAACCATAAGGCAAAGCAAGATAAAGTATCTGCATGGCAGTCATATTAATAATGTATATATTGCAGTGTGAGATGCCTTTCCTGCTGAACGTTTGAGGAGTCTGGAGCTAAAGTTAGTCAACAAAACAACAGCAAAAAAAAAAATATTCTACAAGTACTAATGGTTTCTATTTCTTCTGTAGGACAGTGTTTCTCAAAAGAGAGATGAGAGCAAAAAACAACTTACATCAACATAATTGGCATTAATGTAGTCACTGTGCTTCGAGTCTTTTCCCGGCAAAGGTCTTAGTTTCACTCTACTGTGATCATCTTCAGGAAAGATAACAAACAGGCACAAAACAGGAAAACATATTAGGAGATTAAAACTATGGATTTCTTAAAAGGACAATTCCCTAACCAGAAAACTAATAAGCACAACTCCCATCAGCTCCAACTAGCATGGATGGCGAATGTCCAGGGCTGCTGGGAGTCCAACATCTGGAGGAAACCTTCATTGGCTCTTTTGGGGCTAAACCATTCTTTCCCTAAAGATTCTTATTACTACTTATTAAATTTATATGCTGCCCTTCATTTGAAGATCACAAAACTTCTTCCATTCTCAACTGCACCAGTAAAATAATTTGCTGTCCAGAAAAAAAAAAGTGGCAGAAATGGTCAGCTAAGGGATCAAAAAGTTCTGGGTTTGTTTCTTTCCAGAGCACTTGGAAATGTGACAAACCCATTAGCAAGTTTGGGAGAGAATGGAACTAGCAAGGATTGTCAAATATGTACTTCCCTCAAGTCGCTTTTCAGAGATTAGCATACCTAGATCAGACAGTAATTTAGTAATTTAACATTCAGCTGTGAAATCTTTAGGCAGGATTGCTACTTTCTAACCAAAATCCAAAAGTATCTAATGTCAGACTGTCAACATCAGTCCTCTCAGAAAGCATACCTAACAGGGGTGTCTTGTCCCTTGGATGAAAACAAACTTTTGTCACTCTAACTAACCTCATGCTAGGCAGACAGGCATTCTTACGCCAGTACTGTAGTATAAAGTGGACACTTTTTGTTACTGTTGTCTCTTAAGGCCTTTACTACTCACATGCTAAAATGTTGATGTATCTGTTTTTGTGCTTGTTGTCGGGGTGATTGGAATGTTCAGCGGTGATGTTCATGTCGGATGTACAACGCTGCACTTCCTGTTAAGAAAACAATTACATTGAAAAAGGCAGATGAGTGCAAAACATTTTGTCTGTCTCATTTTGCAAGCAGCTCATTCAGAACACATTGAAATGGTGGGTGTAATTGATTCTCTTCGCCCATGAGAATTCTTTCAGCATAACACTGCTTAAACATATCCTAGTTCTATTAAGGATATTGCCTGCTTCCCAGTATCTGATATAAGTCCATGGTGATTACAATTCATTGTGGTGCAACCCCCCACCCACCCACCCACCGCTTTCCCATCTATCTAGAGCTCCCTTAATAGCAGCCAGAATGCGACACCAATGTGGTCACAGGCCTTTTGCTAGCCATTTGCCCAAGGCTTAATTGTAATTAGAGCACTTTCAGAAGCAGGAACAACATAGCCAAAATAGCAACTCTGCTCTTAAAAGGGTTCTGAGCAAGTTTTATGCCATATAGCAACTCACAGTCATAACTCCCTAGGTCTGGTAGAGGAGTGAGTGCCTACCTAGGAAATACAAAGCAGTACAGTAAGCCCACAACTTGTAGGGGGGTTACATTCTGGGGAATCGCCCCTAGAGCTAAAAACGTAAATAGTCAAAACACATTGGGTGCAATGGCAAGTAGGATTGCAGAAGTCTTTTCCCCCAGTTGCCCGTCCACTTTTTGACCCTTTTTAATTTTTGTAAAAAAAATGTTTGCCAAGCGTGTAAAGCTGAATGCACAAGGTTAAATGCACATAAGCTGCAGAGTGACTGTATTGAAGAAGTACTTGCAGTTTAGAACAGACTGAATTTACAGTGTTTCACAGGGGCCCAATGTGAACAAGGGTCCCAATGTATCATTAGAGTTAGTCACCAAAATAGACAACCAAGGGGGTAAAGTGAAGTGAAAAATGCAAAATAATCAAAATCGGCACATCAACATAATTGAACCACCTTAATTGTGACAACTCAAATATATATAGCCACAGCAGGTGCAGTGACCTTCTAACAGTTTGACTTCACCTCCTCCATTGTCTCTAGACAGACAGATGCCAACACACATATATACACACACACACACACACACACACACACACACACGTGTGTGTGTTGGTTTCATTTCCCCCCTTAAGATGTGAGTGATTTCTTGTTTATCACATTCCACATTGAAGCCAGTGTTTGCTTTGTAGGCACTTTCTGTCTTCAATGCTTTTTTGTAACTTTAAATAATAATTAAAATATGTTAACATTTTGATATTAAATAATATCAAAAAGTGTTAAGTTGGACAACACAGTGATTACACAGTCCTACGTTCCTCTTAGTCAGAAATGTCAATTCTGCCGTTTATTTTAAGTGTCCTAATTACATTTTAAAAATCTTTTTATAACAATGTAACATTGTTGCTTCTTTCTAGGGCATTTTCTCAATGTATTTAGCTGAATTTTATCCAAACGCTACTTCGGCAGGGTGCCGTCAGTGCCACCCGTTTCCCTTGTCCTCCCAAGGGTTACAAGATGCCACACTGTTTCATACCCCAGGCTTCACGTGTTAATCAGGAGCATCCTAATAAGGGAAGTCATTAGTACAGCACAGCTGCTGCAATGATGGAGTAGGAGCTAAGTGACAGAGAAAATTATCACGAGAAATGTTAGTGAAACTGCAGATGTAGCCAGAGTGCAGGATTAATACAAAACTGTCATAAAGAAGTGACAAGCCAATTCATTGCCCTCCCTCCTATCTAGCCCCAAAACATTTACATTTTTTGGAAATCCAAAATATCACAAGTCCAAATATAATTAGAGGCATTTAGACTCATAAAGCAGTGGCATTTGCTTTTTTATGGTAAGCAAATCACCATAGTTGTCCAGAAGAAATAAAGAACAAACAAAGAAGCTGAACGGGGTATCAGGTCTAATCCTTACATGGAATAATTGACACTAATGTCACTGATTATGTATTCTAGAACAGTGTTTTCACACCAGTAGCTCAGCAGAGAAAGGATTCAGTGATTTAATCCAAAGGATATTTTTAATTATCAACCATTAATCACTGTGCTGTTTCACTACCCTCCCACTTTTTACATGGTTCTGTAAGGTCTGCAGATTCTGATGATGATGCAATCATCATCAGAAAGAGCACCATCAAAAGAGCACCATCAAATGTGTGTGACACAGCAGGAGTAACCAACACAGTGCCATCCGGATGTTGGACTACAACTCCTTATCCTCAGAAGCTGGGGTTGATGGGAGTGCTGTTTAACAACATCTGGAGGGCACCACATTGGCTACTCTGCTTTATAGACTTAAAATGAAAGTCTCCAGTACAATTTAATGACATTCTATGAAAAAAATATTGATCCAACTTTATCTTAGCGTGTACTGTAGAAGAAAAATGAATGAAGCCAGTGAGGATTCAAACTTGCTGTAAAAAACACACGCTAGCATATTAGAAATAGAATTCAGTCCCTGTTATTGAATGACCTACAATAAATTTACATAATGCACATAAATTGGATCAGTTGCCATTACATCTTGAAGGACCTTTCAGGTGGGACTGGTTTCTAAGGTCAGTAACTTTAATTAACCTTACTGATGCTTAGGGTTTATGGTTTTGTCCGCTGTACTGCAGCCTCAGTTCAGTGGCAGATTTATATATATGTGCAGTGTGCACAGAATGGCCCCATGCAGATGAGGACCCTGCAAGTTATCAGTATACCTTGTTAACTGAGCCGATACCTCTGAAACGACTACAAAAAGTGAACGGTCATTGTTGAATTCTAGTAGCTTAGTTTGTTGCATTTCCCTCATTCTTCATTTCCCTACTCCTTGATTAAGGTCAGTTGAGGTTGGTTCATTAGAATGACCAGGGCTTAGTCCTATGAAGTTAAATGTCAAGCAATTTTTTTTTTTAAGTTTTCCTCAGAAGCTCAAAGCTATACGTTTTCCTGTCCCATACATCTTTCCACAATCCATTCGTATGTAGAAGGATAAGGGAGACATTTCTGCCAATCTCCCATTCTTTGGTTAATCAGTTTTCTGCACCACTCAGTCAATCTGAGTCCAAAAGTTTTGCTATGGCTTGGAAATTCCACCCGCCTGTCTCCAATACAGGTAAAGAGACCATTGCTATCAAGCAAGCAGTACCCAGAAGGGTCAGAGGAAAAAAAGGCGGGAAACTGCGGCAGAACATCAAGGAGTGCAATACTTGACCCATCAAGCATTAGCATACCCACTGAATGTGAAGCTGGAATCGCTGGCTGCTTAACACCAGTCCAAGACTGACCATATGAAACGGGAGAGTACAACACTGATGGTCCCACTGGTTGGTTATCATGGCCCATCAAGATGAGAAGCATGTGGAGAAAACCTCTGCTCAATGTAGCTGAGGGAAAAGGATAAAAATGGCACTCCTGCTTGTTGTGGTTCTGGGCAGGATGTGCCAACTCTCCACTACTACAACCATCTTCCTCAAGTCAAAGAGGTAATTCAGTAGCCAAGGGGTGGTCCCCAATAACCTGCAGATCCTACCCTCACCATTCCCTACCATACAAAGGAACAGAGGAAAGGAACAGCACAGATCAAGGGAGGGAAGGAGAAAAATACATACACTGCCAGGAAAAAGCAGCAAGACAGGAGAGGAGGATGCTCAAAACTAAACACTTGTAGTACAAAGAGGAAACAACCTGGGGGAAAGAGGGATTTTGAGAAGAGAAACAGGCTGAAAGCATTAGCTCTCACCGCCAACAGGTAGGCTTGGTCAGATGAGAGGGCTGACTTCTCCAGCTTAAGAAGAGTCAAAAGGCTTGAGAAGACCCTGCCTGATCCCTCTAGTAGATGTCATACCACTCTAGGAATGCCTTCCATTTGGATCTGACAAAGTTAGGAAAGTTGCTTCTTCACTTTGAGCTGCTGTTTCATTTATAGATGATTTGGGCCAACTCACAATAAGCTTATATCCTCGTTCAGAAGATATGAGTCAGGTGCTAGGTCACATATTAAAATTACATTTGTGAGCTTTCAGGAAATAACCAGGAGAAGGGAACTAGCAAATACTCTTGGTTGGCTGGCTTATGTTTGAGTAAGAACTGTATGCATTCTAGAAACATGAACGTGCTTGCATTGTCATACAACCTGAATCTATGTCTTGGCTTGCTTTCCTATGTGTTTGTTCTTACATAAGGAGGGAATCCTTATGGTGCTCGCTTAGCAACTACAGCTCAGACCCTAAGGAACTAGGTACCCCTTTTATATCTGTCCTGACACAAACATTTTAAGATGTCAGATGAAGCAGAAACATGCCATGTTTATTTAAACTTTCACAAATTTAAATAATTGGAATAAATACAACAGAAATCACAATCCAGTGGATTTTGCATTTTGGATTTAAGACTCAAAGGTTTTTATATATTTTTAAAATGGAAGCTGCACTGCAGGTGGTTTAAAATGTTAGCTGTGCTCTAGCTTAGGTAAAAGCAGGAGTAGTTAACCTGTGACTCCAGATGATGCTGAACTTCCATCATCCCTGGGCACTGGCCACACTGGCCTGAGCTGATAGAAGACACAGTTCAGCAACATTTGGAGGACCACAGGCTGAGCCACCCCTGGTTTAAAGCCAGTATCTAAGGAGATTACATTTAGTTATATATTTAGTAATATTTATATACCATTTGATCAGCAAAAATGTCTAAGCAGGTTACATTACCATGTGCTGTGATTACCTTACTAATTCTTAAAAATATATAGAAATATTCCCATCGTCCCAAATTTCTAACAGTTCAAATGCAGGACCACTGGAGTATAAAGCAACAATGGATTGTCTATTTTAGGATTCTGAAGGGAAAGCTTTCTGGCAGGACTGCACTAGATCATTCTTTTTCCTTATTCAATTTTTTTGTCTCACTGGTTCATATGACATTCTCAGCGTTTAACTTCCCAAAACACTAATTTTGTTTAAAGATGAACGGTTACGGTTCTTATTATTTTGTCCACTGGAATGTATTGTTGGCAACTCTGGAATCCAACACACTTGGTTTTAATCAACCTTTAGTCACAGTTAAAACTCTTCTGTGTCATTATGGCTAATTTAGCTTTTAATTATATTGTCCGTGCTACCACTGATTGGGATTTAATACATCCAGGTTTAATGACTCATTCATTTTCAGTGTCCCTCTGAAACAAGTTGCTGATTAGTTTTATAAACTTCAAATATTCTTTTGCTAAATTTATGTGTAAAATCCAATTGCTACACGTCTGATAATCCAACATAATGAGCTAGAAATTGCTCCGGAATGGCTGATTGCATAGACATTCTGATATAACTTCAGACAAGTGAACAAGTTACGACCCTGAGAGCAACATCATAATATGGTTTCCCTGTCAATTGAAAAGAACTCTGAGACAAAAAAAAAAAATATATTAAGCAGTAAAATCTATACTTGTAAGAACATGCAAATGCTTCCCTCTCCAATTTGTAGCTATGCAACAAGGTTCTGTTTGCTTCCTTGTGCACTGAACTGTAGAAAGACTATTTGGAAATTTCAGAAACCACTCAATAAATAGATGCAAAGTGCAAGAGTCTCTTCTACAGGCCTCTGTGGCCCAGCAAGACCTAATTCAAACTAAAGCCAAGCTTGTAAAGCTGCAACAAATTTAATGGCAAAGCAAAGAAAGGGTTGGGGCTAAACTAGGGTGGATTAGCAAAAGTAATCACGCCCAGCCCAGGTGTGAGCTAGCTTCTCATAGGGCTTTATTTTCTGTCTGATACCTAGGGACAATTGTAGCTCTGTACAGGTGCTACAAATCCTGGAAGTAAAAGTGTGAGAGGTGTGTGAGAGTGCCCTCCCCCATCACTGTTTTTCTTGCCTTCCAATGTGTGGAGGGTGGCTGACTGCAGCAGGGAGTTTCTTATATCTATGGAGGCTTCTTGCATGTTTTGGGAAATTGGGGTTTCCAAACGCCCAGGAAGCAGCCATGAATACAAAAAGCTCCCTGCTGTAGACAGTTGCCTCTCCTAAGTTGGTAGGCAATGGAAACCATGCTGGCGGGAGGGCAAAACTGGCACACTTGCCCTTTCTGCTACACACACACACACACACACACACACACACACACTGCTCTTTTCCAGAATTTGTAACACCTCCATCGTGTCTGTAGAAAATAAGACAACAATGACTCTACAATGGAAGTAGCAAGTGAGTGCAGTTGGAATAATGCTACAGCTAAGCAAACTGGGTTTGGGAGAGTGCGAATGATGAAGATGGGTAAGGGTATTTAATGACATCCACACCTTGTTGGATCCGACTGAAATCTGTTTTGTCCAGCCTATGTTTTCAGTAGAATACCATCCAGATGCCCTTGTGAAACAAACAGAGGGATAGATGGAGACAGTCCCCATCCCTTTGTACTCAACACCTCATAATCAGAGGTATACATCGTTTATAGATTCCATTTTAACAATAGCAGTTAAAAGTCTTCCATAAACTCATTTTTAAAATGAAGTTGTTTAATCTCTCAGCTTTATCACATTCTTCCCTTACTACAATGTGGAGGAGATACTGATGCTAACTTACAGGGATGTTGTAAGGAGTGCTGAGATAATGTATGTGAAGGCTTTTTAATGGTCTGAAGCAGGGGTAGGGCACCTAGTGCCCTCCAAAGGTTGCTGTACTGCCACTGTCTTATCCTTGACCTTTGGCTGGGCTGGCTGGGGCTGATGGGAGTTGAAGTTCAACAACATCGAGAGTGTTAGAGGTTTTCCAACTCTTTTCTGAAGCACTATGGGCATGCTTATGAGCAGCATTATCTTTTAGCCACCACTCTTTGGGGATAATCTGTAAGGATCCTGGTATTATTTTTTAAATAGAAATTGGTGAACCATAAAACTATTGCTCCTATGGAAGCTATCAAGTGCAGAATTCTTCCACCAGATTTTGTGGACTTATGGCTGTTTTCTTAGCATTTTGGGGGGAAAGAAATTGATGTTTTTTGAATGTATGTGGGGGGATAGCTGCATTGCTTGTTTTTGGGTCAAATTCCAAGTTGGGGGCTGGATCACAACCCTTATTTTTCCACAGGCAACAGACAAGGCTTGGGAGATTATATTCACCACTGCTAATCTTTCTAGCAGCAAAGATGCCCAACCCACTAATGAATTTGAGGCAAACAAAATTGTATGGGTTCCAAAATCCAATACATATTATGCCATTATAAACATTCCATGCCAGCACTTTGGGGATTTCCTTGCTTAATCCTCTTTCATGAGACGTGAAGGACAGAACTAAGAACAACCTCCTCCTCCCAATATGCAAGTAAAAGCCTGCTTAAAGTTCCCAAAGGGGAAGATGGGGAGAGGGATCTACATTCAGAGGGCTGAAGAGTCTTCTTACATTTAAACTCCCTAATGGCATGATTGCCCAAATCCTCTACAAGGTTGCCAAAATGCAGGCAGAAAAGATAACTTCTAAGTTAGAGAGCTGGAGAAGCAGTGGAGCCCCAAATAAAGACAAACATTCTACCACTACTCTGTTAAGTTTTAAGCTTTTGAGAGTAAATATAGGACACAGAACATTCTATTGTGCTTTTTCTTCTTCTATCACGCTTTATGAGGAAGAAGGAGAAATCTGCCAAATGATCCCAAGAGGAGACACAAGTTTGCATGATTGTACAACCATCCATGCCATGTTTTTTTCCTTCCAATTTCCTCCTTTTTTCCTATTTCAGTCCTGAACACCAACCCCTTAATTTTTGTTTAAGGGGGTTTCCATGTAGGCAACTTATAAAGCACAGATCTACTATAGCCCAGTTCCAGCACTCTGTGCCTAAATCAATGTCCCAGAGATGTCATCAGACTTGATGAAGATATGTGAATAGGGGTAGACAGAAAGGTTATCAGTGGTTCTTGTCATCTGATTTCCAAGGCAATTATTATGGGAGGGCATATACAGACAAGAATTCCATCTAAGGGGGAAAGCACCTAAGCTCATCATGGTGGACTTTAACAATCAGGCAAGGTGTCTTAAGGTTATTTTGCAAAGACAGTTTGAATGAGAATAGCTCTGTGCTATAATGTATTACCAAGCCTCATCTATTGCTGACAGAACTACTGTTCTGGACTGAGGTAAGGTATCTCTTGTCATGTCCCACATTGTCCTGGCAGAGCCAGCCCAGAATTGGGCAGGACTTCAGAAAAAGTACAGGTATCTGTTGCTGGTCCTAGTTCTCATGGGGTCAAAGAGAAGTCAGCAGATATGAATAACCATTCCAAGACCACCTTCATGGAAGGTACTTCACTTAATAAGGTGGCAGGTTTGGAGGAAACAATGCAACTTGACTGATATACTCCCCCCTCCCCCGAGAATAGCTCCAACAAGATCACACCCATGATGAAAGATGGCAGCATGTCTGAGCAGAAACCCAGAACTGGAGGTGCAGTGCTCATCTGGCAGGATGAAGTCAACTATCCCTGAGAGCCACCCATGAAGTAGGATCCAGATTCCTCACATGTACAATATCAGGGTCTGCTATCAGGCCAGGAAAGGGTGGGAGAGAAACACCAGCTATGAAGCTACTCATTTGGGGCTACCCAGCACTGAAGCAACATCTAAGCTTCCTGTGTTCTGCATTACTCCTTAATGGACAGACTCCCTACTACCTTGGGCAACCTGATCTCTGACTTTTTATACATGTCCCCTTGACAACTTGAATATCGAAGGAAGGGAAAATTCACAGCTGATTTTCAAGTGTGACTGTTCCAAGAGGGGTTACCTTGGTGAGAAGCAATTAGGAATGTGGCAAAGGTATAGAAATCAGATGGTGTCCCATGTCTGTCATGGGGAAGCCTAAAAATAGTGGCCTATATGAAGGACAGCTAACAATTCCCAGCAGCCCTAGCCAGTACAGCCAATGATCAGGAATGATGGGAGTTGTAGCACAACAACATATGGAGGGCACCACATTGGCTTTTGCAAATCCCTTATGGGTTCATTCCACATATACTTTGTGGGAGTGAAGAGATTTTGACTTTGAAATAGCAGTTTAAAAATTATTATACTTCCTTTAAAAGAGATACCCAACTTCAGAAATCAAAACTAATAGGCAAAACAATATTTACCGGGTAATTAAGAGGCAACAAGGGCACCCTGAAGCATTCTGAAAGGCTATTTCAGGAATATATCCCTCTGCTGCACAATGCAGACAGAAGCTGCCTCGCTTTTTGTTAATGGCAGCGATTTCAGAGACAGCGAAGCAAAGCCTACTTTAAGTCAGTGCAAGTTTACAGATGTGTAGCTGATTATTTTGAATAATTAAATGGTGTCAAAACCAGCTGTGATGAATAGCACTGGGGTCTCAATTCATAAATAATTGAGGAGACGGCATTGCATTTGATCATTCCCATCAAATTCTGCTCTCCCGAGGATAAATGTTTGTCCTGAATACCATCAACATTGTTAAATGCCTCAATATCCCTGTTCAGTCATCCAGCCAACAGTCAATTTAACTAAATCACTTTTAACACCTCGCACAGCCGCTGTCCTCATGAATACGAAATGCTTATGACTGGCACAATAGGGTTCCCCCCCCTTATTTTGGTTCGGTTTTTGAATTAACAGACAGTGCGCCTCATTGCAAAGGCTATTACCAAAGGGCAGCAATAAGATGCTGGAAAGGGCCATGCTGAAGAAAACGGCTGCAGCCTTAGCTTTGTTACACTGAGGAAAAGGGTGTTCAGCATCAAAGCAGCCATTTTGTGCCAATATCTTATTAGTAAATACAGCTGCCTTTTATGACTCAGTCATGACATTTTTAACACTTGGTTGCTAAAGCATGCCATGGCCCCCAAACCATATTTCTCTCCTCTCACCCTGGCGAGATGGCACAACAGCTGCACACTATTTTTGGCTGAGAGGGCTGGGAGAGCCCTCCTTTCTGACAGTACTTTCAAAGCTCCACTGTGATCAGGCTGAAAGGAATGCGGGGAAGCAGAACGGTTAATACTGGCTTTTGGAATAACTGTTTTAGCTTATTAGAGCCTGAGTCTGCCACCATCATTAAGCATGAAACTGTGTTTATGTAAGCCACACGGGTCTGTAAACCCACAGAGTGCCCGCGACTGTGACTTTGTTGCGCACACAGCTGCACAGCTATCAGCATTCCTGTATTTAAACATCTTCTTCCACTGCCATTATTTCTGTTTCAGTCCCTAATACTGAGCTCTCCATTTTACTGTTATCACAGTTTTTATATTTATAAGATTTCTTTCCCAGCCTTCACCATAAGGTCCCAGGACAGGTTACAACAATATAATAATAAAAACGAGGAAATTAGTTTACAATCACAAAACAAGTTACTCCTTACACTCACTTCAATATGCGGAACTTGCACTTCTACAGGTGCCATGCAATATTAGTTCTGAATTTGCAAAGAGTCATTCCTTTAGTGTTTCTAAACCATCTTCAAAGACCTGTTGTGCAAATGGAAGTCCTAGCACAGGGCTGACAGGGCCCATTAGGTGAATCCCACCCAAACGAGTCTGTGGGCATTGCAGTCACAGTCTCTTTCCTCCTTGCTTGTCTACTAGGAGGCTAGCAGTTGCAAGGTTCAAGAAATCCCACCGAACATCCCACATATAACTGTTCATTACAGACTTCAGGCTGCTTTGTCTTCCATTCTGCCTCTTTCCCAATCAGCAGATGCTCACAGGCATTAGGACTTCTTCAACCCTTCTATTCAGAGGATCACTTGAGTGCAGTTGGACCTTCGCTCTTCCAAGGCTGCTTGAGACATTTAAATTAAACACCACAGAGAAACTTCCAGCGCTTAAGGCTGTAAACACGTACCTCAAAGTCTTCTGAGAATCCATGCTGGTTGTTGGCATACAGTTCACTGATATGCTTAACAAACTGTTTGACAGGAATAGCTTCCATGTCATCTGAAAAATAAAAAAGATACTCAGCTCTACAATTAATATTTTCTAACAATAACAATTGTCCTATAAAGTTAGGCAATAACATCTCTACCTAGATGCTAACAAACAGTGTGCGAAGATGGTTTCACGTGCCTTCACAGCTGATACTGGCCCCACTGATGTTGGTGCAAACTTAATGCTCAATTTCTGTATTATCACTTTCATCCAGCACTAAGTGACCACCATGTTGCTGCTGTTTAGTCAAGTTTTCATTTAATTGATCCTACTGACCAGAAATGGTTGCTTTATTTCCATTTTATGAATAAAGAACATCCATGAATGCACAGGAAACAAAGTGACCCGGGGCAGGTTGCCGATGGAGAAACTACAGGCAACTCTCCATTTATGGTGTCTGGTGGATTTTTGGTTTTTTAAAGGGTTTCCAAAGGGTTAGATAGAGGGTTTTTGCAGGCTTTTTCAATGGTGTTCCCACTATACACAATTTCACTTAAACGTGCAGTGCCTTGGAACATAACCCCCACATAAATGGGGAGTTGAACTGAATTGAGCTCCAGGAATATATTTGTAGTGGATGGGCTTAACTACAGAATAGCTGAGAAATCGCAGCATATCTATTACCTTTGCTGTGTGCCTGATCACAGATAATGCAAATTATGAGGGCAAATTACCTTGCTTTGGCTCTATGTCATAGGTATTTTTACACACACATTTATGTATGTATTTGGTATAGCTTAACGCTTTGCAATATGAAAATATACTGACAAACAATAAAGAGGTCTCTGAATTCTAAACTATTATTGTTATCAGTTCTACTACCTCTGACTTCTGCTATTGTGATACATGGAACAGCCAAAAAGGTTTGCCCATGGAAACATTTTGGTTGACTGTGTTCTGTGGTTGTATTAAGGCTAAGTCACCAATTTATAGATTGGTATGATCCATGCAAAATCTACATTTATGCTTACTTTTGCCTGGCCCGCACTTCATGGTAACTTCTTGAATTTTCTCTAGATATGCTAATAAAATACCGTTGCAAAATCCAGGGAATTTTTGAGGTTAAACCTGACAGCAAGTCTCTCCCTCTAGTACAGTGTTTATTACAATATCCTAGTAATGTGAGTACAGTCGTACCTTGGCTGCCTAACGCCTTGGGAGTTGAACGTTCCAGTTCCTGAATGATCGAAAGCCAGAAGTGAGTGTTCTGGTTTTTGAATGTTCTTTTGGAAGCCGAACATCCGACGGGGCTTCCAATTGGCTGCAGGAGTTTCCTGCAGCCAATTAGAAGCTGTGCTTTGGAAGTCAAATGTTTTGGAAGCGAAACGGACTTCCGGAACGGATTCTGTTCAGTTTCTGAGGTACGACTGTATGCTTAGCAGAAGAATTAACTCTCATCCACAGGTAGGTTGTAATAATATATTTTCCAATGCGACTAATGTCTCTGAAAGTGAATGAATTCCTATGCTACTTTCATGAGAAGTTAAATTTCTGACAAAGTGAATAATCCCTCCCCCCAAAAAAATTCCTGAGATCAGTTACAGTATTGAGTCCCAATCTACAGCCAAAACCAGTAACACGTCCCTTTCCATGTACCCTTGTTTTAGCATATCTAACTCTAAATTACAGTTTTGCAATGTATCTAATTAATGAGATAAACTATATATGTTAAAACAAGGAGGATGACTGGCTCTCGCAGTATGCCATTTTTATTCTGTCTGCTTAGACTACAGAGTTGTGACCCTTCCTTGGGGGAATGAACACATAATAATCTTTTGCACTTGATGTAGAGCATGCAGGAATACCAAGAAAAACTTGCTGAACCAAAGGCTTGAAAACTATTGGAATGGGAATAAATCCAACTTTGAAGAGTCCAGCAACTATCTCTACTTTGGGACATTTAAGACACTTCCCATATGTTTTGGTATATCAGTGAAAAGGATGAACTAAAGTCAAAGGTAGACTACACCTCTATTTAATGAAACAATGAATCAATCAAGCCATCACCTGGTGACACATTATATGGATCTTCTGTGTCTGAAAGGTATTCAATCACTGTTGAGTTTCCCTGATCGAGCATTTCTTCTTCCTGTTCTTCTTGCCCTCTTCCTCCCTCTCTCCCATCCCCACCTTGGTCTGTCTTATCTTGCTCTATCTCTTCTTCACTTCCCTCTTCTTTTTTAAATGCACAGCAAATGACATCTCCATATAGGTATTTTGTTCTGAAGTTTCCCATTCTTTCTGGTTAAATTGCCCAGCAGAGAAAAAGTTAACACTTGTGGCGGAAGCTACTTGGCATCATGATGGGAAGATCCCACCTCCACTTCCATCTTTACCAAGCTGTCAGTAGACCAAAGAGCGGAGCATGGCAGGAGCTAAATTTTTCAGTGTTTGAAAGCTTTCACTTTGAAACAAGCTGATCTCTTAAGAGTTTGTGTGATTCAGTGCTGATACAAGTAACTCAGATAATCTTCAGGTCAACTCCACAATGCCCAGAATTAAAGATCCTGATATTTCAAATGGACTGGGGGCAGCGGGGCAGAATGACTTATTCTGACTTACAGAAGGTCTAGCTGAGGCAAACATACTGCCAATTCATATTCATTTAATCTTTTTTCCCTTGCCTCAAAAAGCCAGAGATTAAAGTAATTTGAAGCACTGTGATTCGTCAGTTTAGGACTCTCTGCACAACTATTCCATACAGTCTGCAAATATCAGGAGCATTCTTTTGAAGGAAAATATATAGTCAGCCAGAAGTAGAGTTTGAAAGTTCTACATTCCAAAAATGCAGTCATTGTTCGAAAATTCCACTGCATTCTTTGCTCATGCACTCTAAATGCCTCCTCAAATAAAATCTGCTAATGCATATGAGGAACATGCTTCTTTCAGGTACCTCTTATCTAGTGGCTACTGATAAGCTTCTTTTCCATTTCAGGAAAATTTACTTCAGAGACCATACCTCTTTTAGTCTACTGAAGAGATTAATGAAATCCTATAAAGGCTAATTAGGAAACCTAACAGTTGCTCAGTGCAAAGTCCCATTTGGGCAATTAGCTTTCTCCTTGCCTAAAACCGGGCAGCATTCATTAGTGTCACAGTGGAAAAAACCTTCTTGTCCCAACATTCAATAAATGGGAGGATATATTTTGTGTTAATAACCATTGTTCATACTTTTTATTATATTTATTTTGATTCTTCTTCATTCTGTCTCAGAGGCTTATATGTCCTTATGTCATGTCAGTATGGATAAATAAGTACTTTAAAAATTAAGTAGGTTCTCATGTTTCAATAGATCTAAATTACTTACCAATATGTTAAAGACTAGCCTGCCTCTCCTCATCTACACATGGGAAAAAATTCTGCCGTGTTAAAAATCAAGGCTTTACATAGCCTTCCAGCAAGCAGCCTTGCTTGCTAGTCTTGAGCAATCCTATATTCAGTTACCTGGGGAGTAAGTCCCATTGAACCCAAAGGGACTTTCTTCTGAGTACACATATATAGGATTATATTATAATTGTACATTTGTCCCAGGCTCTAGGTACGTTCAGGCATTTGCCTGAACATGCAAAACAGAATCTCTGGATTGGGCCATGCAGACAAGCTCTGCCTCTCGTATCCTTGTATATGTTGTCTCACCTGATGAGTTCCCAGCCTCCCCCATTTTGAGAGGGTAAGATTTGCAGGGGGCTTATATTCCTTTTTGAGTGTAAACAGAACCTTCCATGGAAGACCCCCAATAAAACCTTAATCACAGGTGGAATATATTATAATGCAATCAGCATGTGGATTATATGAGCAGACATCTTGGGTTACTTTCCTACCCACATTAAGGCTACATTAAAGTGCGCAGTTTAATTGACCCAGGACCACAATACCTCAAGGACCGCATCTCCCCATATAAACCGACCTGGACTCTGGATTCATCATCAGAGGCCCTTCTTTGTGTGCCTCCTTCACATGAGGTCTAGAGGGTGACAACAGGAGAGAGCCTTTTCTGCACAGTGGCTCTTGTTTGTGGAATGCTCTCCCCATGGAGATTCGTCTGGCACCTTCATTATATATTTTTAGGTGCCAGGCAAAAGCTTTCCTCTTTCACCAGGCCTTTGTCTGATAATATTCTACAGCCTTTTAAATGTGGGGGGGGGCACTGTTTTGTTGTTTCAGCTTTAACAAATTAGTTGTGCTTTTATATTGTATTTTAATCTTGTGAACATCCCTGAGATCTTTTGATGAACGGCCATATATAAATCTTACTTAAAAAATAAAATAAACAAAAATAGATAATGACACTTGTGTTTAGTAAATATGTGCAATGCAAAAAAGGTGGTTTACAACTGTGATTACTTTTACCACACACACACAATCCATTCAGTGTCATTTTATTTTGCCCCTGACTTTTGTAAAGAAGGCTAAGCTAAAAGATGGGAACCACGAGTGACTCTCACATTCCCTTTCCATATGTATAGGTCTTGTGATGCACATCCTCTGCTGCATCTGGGCAATGTTTAAAGTGTCCCTTCTGCACAACTTGCTACCAGATCCTTTTCACTGGAGATACCAATGGTTGCAAACAAAAGGCCCCAGGGCCAAAGCATGTGCTCTACCAAAAAGCTATGGCAAGGGGTGGAGAGGGCTAAGAAAAGACAGAAGCTTGGAGGATCAGGGATACAGCGTGTTAAAAGATGTTAAGTGGATGATTTAAGAGGCTATTCTAGTGTCAAGGGAAAGTGATAGTTTAGGGATTTGCTGGTGATGCAGAAAAGATATTAACAACAATGCCATTTGAGCAGTGTATGACAGACTGGATCTTACTAAAAATCATACATGCAATGTCAAGTGAAACTGCTGCAGACACTTTGCAGAAAGTGTAAGTCCTATTCAGAGTAGACACATTGAAATTAATAAGCATGACTAACATAGGCCCACAATTTCAACTGGTCAACTCTGAGTAAACCATAGTTGCTTACAACCCCAAGTGGTTGATTTGGACTAGTCTGAGGCTGTGCAATCCAGTGTACACAACAGGGAGTAAGTTCCACTGAACTCAAGTTCCATTGGCTACAATCATCTTATGTTATAATCACAGTGCATCGTACAGGGTACAGTGAATTCCCATAACTGATGTTTGAACAATGGTGGATCTACTGTCATGGATGCTTTAGCTGAGATTCCTGCATTGCAGGGAATTGGACTAGATTACCATTGGGATCTCTTCCAACTCTACTATTATATGATTCTACTACTTTTCAGACAGGCTACAAGCCTGCAATTACTTATGCGTGCCTGTATCCATAATGCCTAACTGATGCATTATGGGAGTTTTCATGAATCCTTTTTCCATTCCAAACACCCAAATTTAGGCAATCTCAGTAAAGGGACACACCACTGCCCTTATGAATGTTCTTTATTTTATTCATTTTACAAGATAATAACAACACACTGCAGAGTGTGCAGACAGTGCATTCCCATAACTAACCTTTGAACAACATTGAACCTACTGGTTGAGAGAAAGACTATGTTGTTATTGGCTGGAAGCCAGCAAACTGTGAAATGAATTTAAATTGCACCGAATTTAAGTAGGATGAGCACATGTAGCTGTGCACTGGATTGCAGTCACTGTACTGAGTCTATTCTAAGAAAGCGAGTTATGCCTAAATCCCATTGAAAAACAATGAGATTTCAGCACATAATTTAATATTTTAAGTGTCATTAAGAACCCGCACTGGTCCTGATCCAGAGTTCTGCATGAGCTGTAATTGACTCTTAGGCAGACAAAAAAGAAAGAAAGAAAAGAGACCACGTGCTTGTGACTGAGTATTAATGACACCATTTCAATCAAGGTGTAATCTAATATAGCATCATGCCAAGAGCAACTATTAAGGGATGTGTCAGTTACAAATATTATGCACATTGAATGAAATCTGAATTTATAAACCACATGCACACATCCGCCTTTAAATAATAAATGAAAGTGACATTCAGTCCACCTCCTTTAAGTCTGCAAGGAAGAAATGAGAGTCATTCCTGAATAATCCAAATGAGAACTATTTACATTCACTGAGGAGAATATTGTGTCTTGCAAAAAGTACCCGATATGAAAAGGCAATGGTTACATGTTGGCCTCCTCCTCCTTAGCAATGAATACGGTGACATACAGTGATAATGGAAACATCCGAGCACTGGTTTGCAAACTTAAGAGAAAGTTGTGGAAATTTCTTGAGGTTCAGCAGCTGTTGAGCCCCCCCACCCAATATGATTCAAACTGTTGTTGAAAAGAAGTGGGGAAAAGAAGGCAAGCCAATATCAAATGGAAGAAATTGGATTGATATTTCTCATACATTTTGAACATGGCCCTCGTTCCAGGCCAGTCACTCTGCTATTTGCTCCACAGATTAGAAAATTCTGCATGCAGGGGCAGAATGGGACATCTCTTCATAAGCATTTTGGAGGAAAAACAGCATATTGATTCACTTACAGATGCGTGGTTATCCTTGATCCATATGGGGCTTAAGCTGGGAGATGTACATTAATGACAACACCGGCAAAATATATATATTTCTCTTTTTAATGCAAGTTTTATGATTCTCTGGTCAGCTTTTATTTGGTGGCGAGGGCTGATAGGCATCAGACAAGATCCACACACACCCAACCTATGACTACAGATTAGTGATAAAGCGTTCCATGAAAAGATCACTAGGAGGCACCCAAAATGAACTGTGCTAAGAAACAGAAAATGAAGCAATGGCAAGTGTGTGTGTGTCTGTGTGGAACAGAATGGGCTAGCATATTTAATAATGTTTAATAAGTCTGCCATCCAGGCGCAGTTGCTCTCCCCCTAAGGGCATGATCCCAGATGAGACCAATGCTTTTTGATTTATATTAAGTGGGTAATAGCTGTAGGGGCAACTGAGCTAATGATCCTGTCGGTGTTCTGTGGTTCTCTAGACTGCTCAGCAGAGTTAATTATGAATTGTAATGAGAACTCTGGGCTTCAGGACAGAATGGGCATAGATTAGTACATGCCTATATGCTATTCAGTTTCATGGTTGAAAATGAAGTAAATTTCTTCTGTGGAAAGCTAGGTATCTAATAATGCTGCAGTTGCAGAACAGCAAAATTCTATTATACCATCAATCATTAGCACCATGTATTTTGGAGCTGTCAAGCACCTTTAAAGCTGTCACAGAATGTGTTTTTGTTGTTTTAAAAAAGGAATGCAGAGGACTTTCACATTTTTAGATATGCATGGTCAAAACTGCTTCCATTGTGACCATATGACTGAAACGGAGAATGAAAATTGGTCCACCCAGCCCGGTTAAATAGATGTGCAGATCCACAGGGACATATTTAACTATCCATTTATAACTACTGCCTGGGGTATCGCTAGCAAATAAAGATTACTTTAAGGAACTGGCGTTTGTTAAAATGTCATTTATACTTTACTTCCAGAATCAATACAGCTTGGGAGATTTTCTCATGCTCCCTGGCTATTTCTAAAGGGGAAGAAAAAGTTTAGAAGAGGTATCATTTTATCAACCATATGAGTGAATCAAAAGGAAGAATTTTCCATTTAACCTTTAAAGGCTTTTCAGCAAAAACGGCTGTATAAGGAGTTATAACTGACAGGAAGGTGTGAAACAGCACTTAGCAGATTGCTCTGGGGAATGGAATTTGAAGCCTTTTCTGGTGTGGTGGGGAAGCGAGGAAAGGGCATCAGGATGAGGTTAATTGGACCCATTCAAACAGACTAAGAACGGGTTCCCCCCACTTTTAGAATTATTTCTACATTTATGCACACCTTTAGTTCTACTCAGGCATCTGGTTTCTATGGGTACTGAATGCATGATGGGACCAGCAGGAACACGAGGGGCTAGAGCTGTCCCACCTTGATGACATCATATGTGTCGGCCATGACCCCAGGTGACTTGCCAGCAGACTCACAATCTGCTTCTATTTGTATAGGGTTTACTGGAAAAGGAAGTGAAGCTTGTTAAACCTTGTTCACTCAGGGTTCCCCATCCCCATGGAGGATACTCAATACAAGGGGTAGTCAATGTGGTACCTTCTAGATGTTGTTGGACTACCAAGTCCCCAGCCAGTATGGCCAATGGTCAGGGAGTTATGGTTCAACAACATCTATGGGACATCTCACTGGCAACACCTGTCTTATGAGCACAAAAAGAGCCCTCTTCAGACTGATGACAACTGGGCATTGGCTGGGGTTATGCAGCTGGTACATGCCTTGCTAGCCCACCTGGGCCCTTCACACATTGTGCCCACAGGCCCTGAATTCTTGAATGGAGCATTAAGGCACAGTATTGTCATGGTATCATATACATAAAACTCAACAGCTATGTACAAGAAACTGCAAAAGTTCCACAAAGGTTGCTGCTTCAGAATGCATGCAAAAAGGTGCTCTTACTTCCATAGTTAGACCTTGGTCATAGTTAGACCTATCACCACTAAAAAAGAGGCATAATATTTCCTATTACACAGAATAACGCAGAAAATTTCATCCTTGTTTTTATGTTACATTTGTAATATGGCTTTCTACCTTCAGAGGAAAAACAGTATTTTAATAATATCTAAAAGTATTTAAGTGAAACTACTATTCCACTGTCTATTATTTTATTCTAAGTTCCGGTTTGGTACTCCTGGAACATTTCAGTGGTATTGATGAAAAGCAACCATTTTCTCATTTTCTTTTTGGACTTATGGGCACACTCCCACTTTTTAGAAAATCAAAAATCTTCCCTCTAGTGTGAAAACACACTGAGAATATTCATTCAAATCAAGAGCCACTATAACCCTCCACATTTTTTTTAATAGAAAAGATGAAAACTTTATCCTGGATCTCAAACCCCCGCTTCTGCAGACCAATGCTTGAAGATCTGGGGGGACCATTTGAACATTTTAGCTATTTCGCACATTATTTTGATTAATCAAACTAAAATTGGGCTTGGTTTCAACTACATACATTAGTTGGAAGGTTGTAATGATATGGATGCTTCCTCTTTGTCTGCAAGAATAAAACAGCTATTGATGTATAAGTGGGACCTCCAGTCCCTTTCCCCTCCCACCCATTTCCCATTTTGCTCACAACAGTCAAGCGGCATTATGTGACCACTGAATATGTTTGGGGTCCCCCTCTCCTAGATCCCCCCAAAGTTTCTTGTCCTTCAGACAACTTAGTATTAAAAGTGTATTAAGAAATTATATTCGAGTGAAGCTCCAATAGAAGGAGCTTTTGCCTCCACCTTTTAGACAGACTAATAAATGATCTACACCAGAGATCAGGAACATGTCTATCTCCCAATGTTGCTAGACTGCACCTCCCACCATCCCTAACCATTGGCCATGCTGTGAGAGCTGGAGGCCAACAACATCTGGAGGGCGACCCTGATACAGTGGTACCTCTGGTTAAGTACTTAATTCGTTCCGGAGGTCCGTACTTAACCTGAAACTGTTCTTAACCTGAAGCACCACTTTAGCTAATGGGGCCTCCTGCTGCTGCCGTGCCACCGGAGCACGATTTATGTTCTTATCCTGAAGCAAAGTTCTTAACCTGAAGCACTATTTCTGGGTTAGCGGAGTCTGTAACCTGAAGTGTATGTAACCCGAGGTACCACTGTATACATGTTCAACCAAAAGAGGTTTTCTTCTATTGTTTAAGACAAAAGGTGGGGGCTTGGTTGTTGTTGTTTTTAATGTTCCCTCTTATTTATCTGATTAAAACCAACAACATGTATTTGTAGTAATGAAAAACCACATGAGGTAAAATAATAGACTAGAACTTTTCTCCTGCTCAGCTCTGAAATTCTTTATCTTACAACTCCCACTTAAGCTTCGTAACTATTCTCCTGAATACTTTGCACCTCCTGCGATGGTGTGGGGAAATACCACAGAACTAATGGAATTGGTAGCATTTGGGGGGTGAGGCATTCTATATGGTCAAATAATACAATTTTGCTTACACGTGACAAGAAGATGGGGAGATTTTTTTTATTTTTAAAAGCTTTTAAACAAACCTTAAGGAGGATTTTAATGGCAAAGTTTTGGTTATATGAAGGACTTCTGGTTTGTAGCATTGTGCACACTGGTAATAGGGGAAAATCATCACAGCATGCAGAGTTGTACACATTTCTGACATGATTTGCTGCTAATTGGATAAGAGTATGTGAACAAAAGCTCTGTCAGAATGGGTTATCCACAGCCCCTTTCTGAAGACAATCCCATAAAGCAGATCCAAACCCAATTTGGAATTCAGCTAATGGGATCAAACCTTGGAAAAGTGACATAGAAAGCATCCCAAGTGAATTTCCTATGTATTTGCATGTTTGCTCAGGAGATCCCATAAAAAAAAAAAAATCACCACATGAGCATCAGAGGTTTGTCAGACAAGGTAATCACACTTCCGACAAAAGCCTCAAGGCCATACAAAGAACTCCAATGTTATCTTATCTATATTGTACACAATATTGTTGGCTAGCAATATTTAACTTATACATATGCCTTGCAAAGAATCTCAGTCTAAAACAGTTATTTGTTACATGGCTTTCAAAATATCTGGAAGGGGGGGGATAAGTGCAGTGCACAATTCTCAGTGGGAGAGCATCTGAATCATAGAATCACAGAATTGTAGAGTTGGAAGGAACCCAAGGGTCATCTAGTCCAACCCCCTGCAATAGGGGAATCTCAACTAAAGCATCCATGGCAGATGGCTATCTACCCTCTGCTTAAAAACCTCCAAAGAAGGAGAGTCCACTGCCTTTTTAGGGATTCCAACTTCCTATGTTCCCAATAACTGAAAGATAACTGTAACGCTCAAACCAGTGGCCAACCAGCAGCCAACCCACTACCTCAGGAAAAACTGTGACAATTCCAACATGCCTTTGAAAAAAGCTTTGACTTTTCATTGCTCTAAGGCAAGAGTAGGGAAACTTTGGCCCTCCAGTTGTTGCTGGACTACAAACTCCATCATCCCTGACTATTGATCCTACTGGCTGGGAAGGATGGGAGTTGTAGTTCACAACATCTGGACAGCACCAAAATAGCTACCTGTGTTTCAAGGCATAAAGAGCTGTGTACAACAGACAATATGCAAATCTTCACATCTGTCTGGCTTTGGCTCACAAATTTCTGCTGAGAACCATTCCATATATAATTACTTCAAGGCACTTGACAGATTGTAAAATAGTAGGCATGTGCGTTGATATTTTTAATTAACCAGTAAATAAGCATTAGGACCAAGTCTGCAGCTACTCTAACAGCAATCTTCTCTTTACTGAGAAGTAAATCCCACTGCTTAGTTTCCAGTAAGTGTATTTAGGATTGTATTTAGGACTAAACTGATACAACTTTGCCTCAAGCAAAACCTATGCATCTTATTTGGCCACTTACATTTAAATGAGAGTTTTCCTATAAAACAGTACTGCGTAGGTGGGATCTCCCCCTGCCCTCAAAAGGTCACAGGCAGCCTGGCAAGCAAAAGTCTTCATTACACAGACCTGGCAACTGGAGTTCCACTTGCACTGCAATCCAACATTACCTGGGAGTAAGTCTCAGTGAATGTCAGGATTTCTGTGTAGACATTCATAAGATTGTCCTGCACAGCTGGAGGCCAGAAAAGGTGCAGACTACGAACATCAGTGAACAAGAAGGATGGAGTAAGTGATTAATGGCAAAAGGGCAGAGCCAGAAAAGTAGAAGACACATGGGGACTCCCCACTATGATACCATCAGTGCTTTGTGCCTTATCCAGATAAGAAAGCACTAATCCAAACTCTGTGTTCCCCCCTCATTTTAATGAAGATTTACAGAAATATTACTACACACTGCGGGATGCTCCAAATGTATAAAGAAGTCAGCCAATGTGGGAAGCGGACTGACTGATACAGAACATACAGTGCAAACTGTGATTTGTAAGGAGCCCAAAGTATGAATGAGTTAAGTCATGATGTCAGACCTTCCTTACCTGGGATGGGAATAACAGGAATGGTTTCGTTTGGCACCACTCGAGGCGAACTGCTGTCTTCCACATAGAAATGAGCTGTCTGAAAACATTTTCTGTGAATGGAAGAGAAACATCATCAGCACTCTCAGGGCTCTCTGACATTTCTGTCCATGCTAAGCATTTGCATCACACACATGGACAAACACACACAAAGTTTTATTTCTGATTTTGTCATGCCAGTGACTCTCAAGTGAACGCTAAAATGTGCTGCTACCAGTCACCATAAACCATCATTTCGTTTAGGAGCCTCCCGTTTCTTACCTCTTATTAAACAAACAGTCTAGGAAGTTTAGCAGCTGAGAGTGCATGCATTCACTTAAAAAGGAAACTTTTGGGTGTCACTTATTGTGGCTCAATAACAGCCCTCCTTAAAAGAAAACTAAAACAATCATAACCACACTAGTGTTGGAAACACGTAGAACCTTGCCACTTAATGGGCAGCACCTAGAGCAGAACACACATAACGGTCACACTACTTCCTTAGGGAAGTTGCAATCTCAACAGGAAAAAAAGTTTGCCTCATTCAACTCTGTGCTGGCTGTGCAAATCCCCTTTGCAGGCTTCTGCAAAACAACGAGAAGAACACATGCTGCTAAGGAAAAGCCTGTGGTAGATGTCAACTCGGCTTCCTCCCTCTGCGACCCTCCCCTACCCCTCCGCTGAAAGGAACGCTGAAAAGGCCAGAGGGCAACTCAGATGCAGCCCACCGATGTTCCCGCCAGCCAGATTTAAAGGCTTGAATCTGCTTCCCTGAACACATTGCAATTGCTGCTCTTTTTACCTGTACTTAATGCAAAGCAGGGAGCACAAGCTGGTCATCACAGAGAAGGCACTGAGGAGGAGAGCATCCAGAGGTCCAATGAGCCTGTGCATGGTGATGCTAAGCAAGGCAGGGCTTTCCAGCAGCCACGTCACTGCTCATTGCTGCCTTAATGAGCTGCTTGAGGCTGGGACTGAATATTTAATGAGCCTTGCTCAGCGTGAGCAGCTATTGTGACAAGCAGAGGGGCTGCTCTCAGCTGTCAGGAGCTCTTAACAATAGCCTGGACAGAGCAGAGAGAGAGAGAGCCCTCTTCCTGCCTCCCTTAATGAACTGCTGCTCCTCAACACCTGTGCGGGGTCCTGAACGCCTCCGCCTCCGCCGCGATTAGCTTCCCCGGCACGCAAGCCACTGCCTCTGCTTGTAAAGGTTTGCAGCGGTCTCTCTGCCGCACAGCACGGCTTCTGGAATTACGGCCAAGCAGAAAAGCCCACTCCATCCCGCCAGCTTTGCTGACACTGTCAAAGCAATTTGTAGTGCCATTGTTTCCAGAACAGAGGTACATAGCAGAGGGCTTTGGGGGGGTGCAGGGGGGTGCAGAGAGAAAAAGGGCAGCGCAACTCACACAGCTTTCAAAGGCCAAGCAAATCTCTTGCAAGAAGTTGGCCAAATGCATGCAGCAGGCCCTCAATTTCTGAATTCTGCTAACAATCAAAGCTAGGGCTGTCAGATCGAAATGCTCAGAATAAGGAGATTGATGAAGCCGTGGCAGTATTTCTCAAATGTTTTGAGAATGGCCACCCCATTCTGCTGTCCCGTGAACCCAAAGCCAACTAGCTGAGCATATGGAGATATGGTTGTGTGCAGAAAGAACAAGCCTTTTCTTTTTAGCCTATGAAACAGAATACTTTCCTCTGAAAGTCCTACCTGGCACCTACCATTTCATTCATTCAGTGGCAAAGGGTTTTTTTTTGTGTGTGTGTGCGCGTGTGTGGCAGGGAGCTGGGCAGCCAGCAACAATGGCTGGATTTTTATAATTTTGATTATGCTTTCATTACACTTATGCGTTTTTATTGTAGATTCACGTAAGTAACTGTGTTGGTCTGACGCAGTTGAAATAAATTTAAAAATTGTCCAGTAGCACCTTAGAGACCAACTAAGTTTGTTCTGGGTATAAGCTTTCATGTGTATATCGGAAGAAGTGTGCATGCACACAAAAGCTTATACCCAGAACAAACTTAGTTGGTCTCTAAGGTGCTACTGGACAATTTTTAAAATGTTTTTATTGTATTTATTCTTGTTGCAAATTGCTTTAAGATTTTTAAGTAATACATACATTCAATTAACCCAACCGAACCCGTTGCTTGCAAACAGCCTAGTGCCCCATGGAAGGATCTGTGGGACTGGCCCAACAATGCCCAGACTGAAATCTGAAGAGGAAAAGACAAGACACTTTCTTATGCACAAGGGATTTTTTTTGGGGGGGGGGGAGAAACATTTCTCCAAGCTCACATAATCTCAAAATCACTTTGGGATGATGGTGTAAGGAGGGTGCAGTCACTCCATAATAAATCCAAGAAGGGTAGGGGAGGGTCCTCTGCAGGGGGCATTCAGCCTCTCTGGATCTAGAATGATGGGTGTACATAGGCTCCAGAACACTATCCCTTCCTAGAAATTTGAGCCCCCTCCAGGCATGAAACTAGTGAGTTGAACTGTTTGAAACTAAGGGTCATGGTCAGAGGAGATGTGATAAAAGGTTATGGGGCATGCACATAACCGAACACACAAACAACGTGCACACGATATATACTGTTTATAGCCTATTTTTCATCTAAGTGGAATCCAGGGTTGGGTATGAAATACAGGATGCATAAAATCACAGAATCCACAACAATTAACACTTAGAAAACCACTGAAACAATAGGATCAGCGAAAACCACAAAGCTGGCTAATCTAACACTCAAACACACATTTTATCCTGCCCTACCTCCAAGCAGCTCAAGACAGTGTACTTGAACGTCATCCTATTTCCCCCTGCTCACCACAACAATCCTGTGATGTAGATTATAGGTTGAGAGATTGTGGCTGGGTGAAGGCCACCCACTTTGTGTCACGGCTGAGTGAGGATCTGAACCCAAGTTCCAGTCTGACCCTTTATTCACTGGCTCTCGGGGATATCATAATAGGGACATCTGGCAGCCCCCAAACAACTGTGCTCTTGATGAATAACGAAAGCAATGGCAGCTAAATTCATAGGGCCACTGAAACAATATGCAGCCACCAAAGAACACATTCTATAGCATCATTTTACTCACAAGCAGGCAGCTGCTTCCACACAGACCATCTCCTAACAGCTGTACTTTTCTGGTAACATTACTTTGTAGTGAAATGATACCTGGGAATCCAAGGTGTGTGACATATGATCAAATATGTGTGGTGTATGACCAAACATTGTGACGTATGTGACGTATAATGAAATATTCCTTCACAAATCAGTTTGTTTCTTCCATTAATATCCTGACTGCTCTTTCTCCTCCTGATTGTAAGTAAAGATAGACTTGGTTTCTACTCAGGCCGCCTTTACTATAGACTATGAACACCCTGGGGGCACAAAGGGGAATAAATCAGTCACAGCAAGGGAAAGCCTATGAATATGGATCAGGTAGAACGTGCATGTGTTTGAAGCATTTAGGATTTTCTCCTTTGAGTAAAATATTCAGCAAAATCCACGGAGGATGGCTTTTGATATCATGCTCTTCATTTTAGTGTTTTTTTATATTCCTCCCGCCCCCCGAATGACAACAAGAAGGAAAAAAGTAATAATCCCACACCACTTCCATCCCTCCAGTTGTTCTGTGTAAGAGTCACATTTATTAATAACAAAGCTAGTCTGATACAAATTGATCATCTTATGTTTAACACTGAACCTTGTTTGGAGGTCCAGTGTAACTAAGAAAAAATGGCCAGGTTAACAAACGTTCCACCAAGTTAGCCTGATTTTGGCTTATCCTGATCTAAACAGGACCAAAATAGTTTGAACTATTGTCTTTTAAATACTGACATGTCCATCTTCCAGTTTTGAGCAATTCTAAGCTTAGCTGTAACTAGGCTTCTGATATTATTTATCAGAAGAACAGTATGTAAGACAAAAACCTACCATCTGCCACATGTGGGGAAGTAGCATCACAAAAATGAATCTTAAAAAGAAAAGATGTGTGACAGAGACCATGTGTACACGGAGGAGTAACTGATTTATGGTCATATAACATCTGAGGATATTTACACAATCATGTTAACTCACACTCAGGTGTTTGTTCAGTACAGAGGGTTCCCTGATGATCTTCAGAACCAGGTGACGATAGAAAGCGATGACAAAAATTGTCACATGAATCAGCCTTTCGCCTAGCTTCATAGCTGGATGTGCTATGGAATTCTTTCAAACAAATACCTAGCACTGTAGCTTTGTCAAAACCTTGAATGGCTGTAACAGAGTCATTCCATTGGCTCATTCAGTGCAGACATAATGATACCCTATTGCCTAGCTGTGGTTGAGCAACCAGCAGCCCCTGAACTTTTGGATCCCCCCCCCCGCCAACACATACCTATTTCCCAGTGCAGACACTGCTCTCTAAATTTTGAAGGCAACAATGGTTAGTTTTCTATGTACGCCAACATTTTCTCTGTGGCAGCCATCTGTCACCAGCTACCCTGTGGGAAGGATTCCAGGAGAGTAAAGTAGGCAAGCGAAGACTGCCTCAGAGCCTCTTCCAGCTAGACTCTCCCTTCTTTCTTCCTACAGGGCCATCTGCCCTGTAGGAAAGACTGGATATCAATAACTGGGGAGGTGGGGGACAAAGAAGCGGGGAGAAGGGTGGGCGAAGACTCCAAAAAACGCCCCTCATTGCCTAGTGACGTTTAATTGATCTCGCAGTGTTACATCTACACCAGCCACTGGTGTATCTTCCAGGAATAACTTCTTAAAAATATTAGTGCCAAGACTGGAGGGCTTGTGTACCAGTATCTGGGATTCCCTCACGCTAAAATCAGCAGGGCTCACAGCAGAATAAACAGGCTTGGGATCGTGATGTACGTGATCTCAATGCCTCCCCCAGCCACAACTTCTGTTCCTTTAAACAAAGGCAGTCCCCTACGTGTGGGCAGATCACTATTTGAACACATACTTATGCACTTGCTTATAGCACAGCATAATAGCAAAGAACTTGCTAAGACCACAGGAAATTGAGGCTTTAGTTTATTGCAAAATCTGGAAATTGTCAACTGAAAGCTATCTATCAGGAGGGGCCTGATCCTACCTTTTTTAATGCTACAGAGTTTAAGAGCATATGTCAGGCTCTATGAAAAATATTTTAGTGCTGTCCAGTGATGCAGGTGGTACTGTGGTCTAAACCACTGAGCCTCTTGGGCTTGCTGATCGGAAGGTCAGTGGTTCAAATCCCTGCAACAGAGTGAGCTCCTGTTGCTCTGTCCCAGCTCCTGCCAACCTAGCAGTTTGAAAGCACACTAGTGCAAGTAGATAAATAGGTACTGCTGTGGCAGGAAGGTAAATGGTGTTTCCATGCACTCTGGTTTCCATCACAGTGTTCCGTTCTGCCAGAAGTGGTTTAGTCATGCTGGCCACATGACCTGGAAAGCTGTCTGTGGACAAACACTGGCTCCCTCAGCCTGAAGCGAGATGAGCGCCTCACCCCATAGTCACCTTTGACTGAACTTAACCATCCAGGGGTCCTTTACCTATATGGAAACTCAGGTTTCCGAACATGTGACGAACATGTGACATGTGAAAAGTGTGATGAAGAACATTTGCACTAGAACATTTCCAATTAGTCCCTTCACCCAAACATGCAGGTGTGGGTGCAGGTCCATGAGAAACTGCACAGGAACTTGTTCCAGCAGGTACATTAATGGTGTCTTGCTAGTACTGCAGTAAGCTAACATCATACCATGATGATGAGCGCATCTGGAAGGACAAAGGTTCCCCATACATGGGATTGGAAATGCTTCTCAGCACATCTCCATCCACCCTCCTCTTTCCCAAGTGCTCCATTCAGATATGCTCAAAATGTAGTGGCAGATAGTAAAGACAGGACAGATTCAAGCTCAAAATGAGTCTCAAATCAGCAACCCTTAAAAGTAATTTCAACTCAAAAACAGCCCACAGTCTGACACTGGAAGCTTTGTACCACTCATGCTGGAATATATCTATAATGGATAAAATTACACATAATTTGAGATTTTGACAAGGCTAGACCCTCCAGACACTTTTTATATGATTTGGCTTTCTTTTATGACATATATAGCAGAACTGAAGCTTTGAAGACAAACCTTGTCACAAGCCTGGCAAATCTGGAACTAAACTTGATGAGCTGATAGCATCAATAGTCTTTACTCGGGTTTTGCTATTTTAACTCATGTGCAACTACTCATTCTACGTGCCTATTTTATAGTTTTGTTTTTCATCTTTTAATTTTTGTCTGTTGCTGTAATTGTGCTCTCTGTTTCATATGCATTTTAAAGTGAAAGAATAAATAATAATAATAATAATAATATTCATACCCCGCCCATCTGGCTTAATTAATAATTATTTATACCCTGCCCATCTGGCTTTGTTAATAAAAAATCTTAACAAAAAAAATCAGTAACCCTTAATTTCATTATCAGAATATCTCAACACAGCAGATTTCAGTAGAGTGTTGTATCGTTTCAACTCAACAACAAAGTCTATGCAGGGGCTCAGAGAGGAAGGAGCCACACACAAAGACATGGCTACCTCAACAGGCCCAAGGCCAGCTCCTGAGGGTGTGGGCTGAGCTGTTCTTTGTTCATGAACTCACTGGGAGGTGTCCTCCAAAGCCCTCCCTCCTTACCCTCCTGAAGCCTTGCCTCTTGACACCCAAGACCCATTTTGATTCCTGCTTCCTTCATTCCTTCTCTAGCATCCAGTTTTGTTTTGCTTTGGTGGTGATGGTGGTTAACCAAGGGTATTAAATAATAAGCACAAACAAAAGTAAAAAAAAAAACCCCTGCAATACTAATATAATATAGTTTGAAATCAAGTCCATTTGGAATTAGAAGAACTTAAATTGGGCCTATTGCCTACTCTGCCAATGAGTCCTAATAATCTATTTATTACTGTGAGCTCAAGGTACTTGAGGTATCTCCTCAGAAGTCAGAATGACATTTTCAATGACTGCATTTGAACAAGCACCCAAATCCACGTGGAACAGAAGTATACAGTTCCAAACCGAGTGAAATACTTTTAGGCTTCAAGAAAGAATTCCACAATCTCATAGCTGAAATGGTATCCATTCTCCTTTCCAATTCCAGGACAATCCAGACAGCCCACAATGTTTTCTGCAAATTACTGAGAACTCTGTTGTCTTTGAAAGAGACTAGTGTGCTCAGTGAAGCAGTCCCACTATTCTCTCACTACAGCCTTCCTAAACCCCATATGCTTTATTTCTTGGCTGGCTTTCCTCAGGGAACAATCACTGTGTGAGATCTCAGACATCAGACAGGCCATTGTGAAAAGGAATTGCGGGTATGGGCAAAAGGGAATTGCGGGTGGGTGGGACTACCACCAAAAGTCTTTGAGGGAAGATCCTCCATCACTAAATGGTGGTTGTTGTTTTTTTAACTCAATGACATTAACAAATTTACAACATTGAGTATTGCCAAGTGTTCTGTCGGAGTACTACAGATGTGAACAAGGTTTAAAAGGGCATATGCACATATCCATATTCCAGGTATAGGGCGGTATGTAAATTCAAAGAAGAAGAAGAAGAAGAAGAAGAAGAAGAAGAAGAAGAAGAAGAAGAAGAAGAAGAATGTTCACTGAATTTACTGACTTTAGAGAGCAGTGTGTGTTTACAAATGGAAACTCCTCCTCAGGTACCAACTCCTTTGCAAGCAGAAAAACAATAAAATACTGCCAATAAATAAAAGGGGTATGGGTTATGTAGAAAAACCAGGGGTGCACTTCTCCACCAGCTAGATGGCTCAATGGACTTCCTATGCTCCCGCTGTTGCTTCAGAGCAGCTAGTATTCAGAGGCTCATTGCTTATGAATATGCATGTTAAGTTTAGTTATCATGACTCATAACTGCTGTCCCTGAATTTGCCTAACCGCCTTTTAACAGCATCTAATGGCTATTGTTGAGAGTGAGGGAGACTGTTTGTAGGTGGGTGTTTTAAGCGTGGGTGAATATGTGCATGTATAGGTTGAATTCATCTGTGTGGGTGCTGAGTGAGTGGAAGGGTACTGAGTGGAATCCTATTTTGACGTTTTATTGTTTTTATATGGTGTTTTTAATTTTTTCTTGGATTGCCTTGTAAGCTGCTTTGTGATTTATTTGTCTTTGCTTTTAATGAAAAATGGTATATAAAAACTAGAAAGCAATAATTGCCACACCTTGCCACAGTGAACGGCCAAATTATACGTTGGGCATCAGCAGCAGGGCCCCAGTATTGGCCCGAGGGAGCTGTATGAAACTTTACCTGCTGAAATTGCAGCATGCAGAGCAAGCCACTCTTGGATTCTGAAATAAACTGCCTGCTAATCCATGGCTTCATTAACAACATGTGCTATGGATGTACAGATGTGGCCACATGAAGCAGATAACTTTGCATTTTAAAAACATCTGCTCCACCCACAACAACAACAACAACTGACAGGTAGCAACTTCTCAGGAATCCTGGAACTGCAACTGGGGCAGATCAAGGCCAACTCCAAAATGACCAAAAGACCAGCATGTGTGAGCCTCGCTGAAGTAAATGGGCGCTATAGAGAAGCAATGATTGGTGAAGTTCATCTCAGGACAACACCTGCCAGCAGTCTGCAAAGCATTAGTTAGGGTCATCAGTCACTGACTTTTATGAGCAAATCATGTGGGCTCGGGCAATTATGAAGCCCACAAAGAGAAAGCCCACATGAACAACCAATCTACTGAATATTCATGAACTTCCAGCCTGCCTGTGTGATATTGCACTCATGTGAGAGAGCATCTGTGAGCATCTCCTTCGCAGAGGACACAATGGGGCTGAAAATATCACCCTTTTCTGACAGGCTTTTACTGCAAGGGTCTAGCTGAAAGATTCCAGAAGGAAGATCCAGCAGGCAGCAGAAGGACATTAGAATGGGAATACTATTGTGCAATGAAGTGCCAAATCAGTTCATATATCATGTATGTCGGTATAGTTGCACTTATGGCAAGGCTGACAGCCCTCCTACTCTGACTACCTCACTTGGTAGAGCATGAGACTCTTAATCTCAGGGTTGTGGGTTAAAGCCCTACGTTGGGTGAAAGATTCCTGCATTGCAGGGGGAGAGGTGGACTAAATGAACCTCATGGTGCCTTCCAACTCTACAATGTCAGGGATTGAACCTGAAACCTTCTGCTTCCGAAGTATGTATTCTACAATCTACCATACTCTTGTATATATTTCACATACATTTTATTGGCTTGACAGAGTACTCTGGGAGCGTAGAAAGTTTATTCCATGGGCAGGTCTAAAACTCAAGTGGATTCTGAGCAATCAGACTAAAATGTCACAAAGCCATACTTTTAGTGTTCTTTTCCACCCTGACTAGCTGTACAAACGTGCAGGGAACATGTATTTAAGAGTAATTAATCTGGGATAAGTGATCTTCAGTATACCTCACTCTGTAGATTCAGTGGCATAGAGTGTAATGCTATAGACACAGGATCACATGCCTCACATCAATTAATCAAAACAGCTTCCTGTTTCCATAGTATGCAGTACAGTAATGCAGATTAAAAGCCTCTTTACATAAGTGGTACATATTCATAACACTGAATGCAAATCAACTGCCCTTGCTGTACTCACCATTAGAGTGGCTAAGAGTGGGGGGAAAGGTGATGACCAACTGGAAGTATGGAATCAGAGAGAGTTGGTTATTCAAGATGAATTGAGTACAAGCATGTGATGCACTCCCATGTTCTATTTATCATCAGAGCCACAGCTTTAGCTAATAGATACATAGGCATTGCAAAACAAGCAGAACCACTTCTTTAAAATCAAGGCTCTTGCAGTGTGAAGTTTTCCCCATTAAAGAGCTCCGAAAAACCTGGCTGAGCTGGCTAAATCAGGATTCTTGGAGGGAGGGTGATACTTAAGTCTGCCACTGTAGAACCAAATGAATGCTCAGGTGGCCAGTGCCATAATGCATTTACATGGCTCTCTGACTACAAATTAATAGTGGGATAAATCCAGCACACAGCTCTTTCCTCCATCTTGCCAACACCATCCCCTGAGAATGGCAAAGGAAATTGTGAAACCTTATTTGGGATGACACACAAGGTCCTCTAAGAGTAATTATTCTCTCTGTGACCTCTGGCAGGGCTGGAACAAGTGAGGCTTTCCCCCTCCATGTATTTAATCAATACTTGGAACATCTGTGCAGGTTACACTCAGTGGTGAGTGAAAAGCTTTTGACATAAGGGATTTATGAAAACGAAGAAAAAGGAGGATGAGGATGTGCTCTATGGACTACAAATTAAACAGGAAGGTGGGATTTCTTTTAAAAACTTTTTAATGTTTATGCTCAAATTTAAAACCATTTTAAAGGAGTTCGCATGCCTGACCTAAAACACAACTGGTGAAATCCAGTGGAGTCCATTCACTAACAGAAAGGACTTCTGTTTGTAGGAGGCTTCTGTTCCCCCTCCCCATGACCCCCATGTGGGAGCTTTTGGAGGGGTGCAGACAAGAGGAATGGGAAGTCCACTCACATAATGTTGGATGTTGTCCAAACGGAACGGAGTTATTTAATGAATGAAGGTGCTTTATTTTGAATGCATATCCTAAATCTTGTTTATGACAGTTCTGCATCGTGGGGCGCAGAACTGTGGGGGTGGGGCATCCCCCTAAACACTTAAATTAATAAATGCTAGGCTTTTGGGTTATTGGTGATATGAAGGCAGAATATAAGCTGCAAAGGAATTCCTGGGTAGCCTGGCCAAACTTCTAGCACCAGGTGTGACCAGAGACTGGAGATTTGGAAGGTTGCCAGGGTAACTGCTCTGGGAGGAGGGCAAGGGGTTTCTGGGAAGAAGAAAGGGTCAGATCCATCTTGGTGAGGGGCAAGGAAGGACTGCCTGCAATGCTTTGGGTCATGCTATAAGATCTGGACTCCCTCCATGAAAACTGAAGGTGTAAATATGTGAATAAAACCGTATTTCTTAAAGCACGACAGCCTCTACTGTGTCTTCTGTTTTCCAAAGGGACACAGACCCTGTGTGTGTGTCTGAGATCCCATGCGCTCTTGCCATGGCTTGGTGGAGAGAGGGACAGGAGTCCGGCTTTTGTAACAACATTAATACTATCCACAACACTGTCCCAGAGTTGTGTGTGGAGATGTCTGCTGCCTTTGGGGGAGTTCCCAGCAGCTTCCCTACAGAGGGAAAATGCGCAGTCAGCACTGTATCCAATGTGTCACTAGAATCATGCTCCTGGCTTCCATTGTTTTTTAACCAGCAAGTGGCAAAGTACTGGGGCAGCTGAGAAATACTAGGGCATCTGGTGGTATTAAAAAAATGTAATACATCAGTTTAATTTAGAATTAAACTCCACTATTTATGGTTAGGTTTCTGCTGATTTGCATTGAGAAATGATCCCCATTCCCCCCCAGGTATGCTTAGGTACACAACATTTCTGGCCGCAGGCCTGTCTTCCAACTCTGCACATAACCCATAATGAATTACAAACACCCTATCTCCCTATCATTACAAGGGCCAAGATGGATACCAGATGTGCTATTTAAGGGCAGGAGGCTGTTAGTCTAGGCTCCTTCTGTTATTCCATCCACCGAGATCCATGAAATCAGCCTGGAAGTCATAGGCTAGATGAGGCACTTGTTCAGGATTTTTAAGCAGAGAAAAAATACTTACTACAAATTCCAAATGGAGTAAGAAAGAACAGCTTAGCACAGTTTCTCAACTGATGATTATACAAACTTTGTAAGAGGTCATAAAATGTATCGGATCAAAAGAGAGACCAAGTCAAATCACCTTTGTGCAAAGTATTTGCAAAAGAGAAAAATGAGAGAGGGAGAGAGAGAAGAGGGGTGGGCAGGAATAATCAAGGACACCTTTGAAGTTTCAAACCCAGTCCCAAAATACAGCAAGTCAGACTGTTGAGGGAAAAACATTTGTTATGCAGAATGTCTGCAAAATCAAGGCATATCGAAACATCTGAAGCGTTAGAATTAGGAATTTGCAGGAGCTCCTAATTAGGCAGCAAAGTTCTAGACTAGAGCATTAGAATAAAGGAGACTTTTAAATTCAAACAGGAGTAATGACTGAAATTATAGGAACAAAGAGAGCTAAGCTTCTTAGCCTGAGGAATTAGCATGAGGAAGAGGCTGTAGCTCACTGAAGGGACCTATGATTTGCATGCAAAAGGTCCAAGCATCTCCGGATTGGGAAAAGCCTCCTGCCTGAAAACCTGGAGAACCACTGCCAGTCAGAGTAGACAAAAGTGAACTAGATGTACCAACAGCCTGACTTGCTATAACCCAGCTTCTGATTTTCCTATCTTTTATGAGATGTGAAAATATGGTTATGGCCACTGCCCTTATACATATATAGAAGATGCCTAACACTGATAGAATATCAAGGCAAAGGAAAACTTGATTTCAGAAGAGCACATGTTTTGGGCCAGTTTAAATATACCAGCCCATTTGTAGTGGTGACCCATGTGAAGAGGATGACATTCCTTCCTGTGTGCTATTCCACTGCCACTGTCAGTATGACATCACCAGCATCCCAAGCTACATGTAACACTAACACATGAGTGGACAAGCATGCAGGAAAGTGATTTCAAACATGACTCTCTGCATATGAATTGCTTGCAGCAGCCATGGACAAATGTGTGTGGACAGGGCAGTCTTCAAATGTGACTTGGAAAGAAGTTTTAAGTTCAGAAAACGTAGCTTTCAAGATACGAAACCACCTAAAACCTAAATTATCTGGCAATACAGGATTGTGGCCTGAAATAGCTAAGTTCCTTCCTCTCCCTCCTCCCTCAGACTAGCAGAAAATACAATTCATTTGAACAACATGTCAAAGCAACACAGCAGTTTAGAAAACTCGGAAAATGGCCAGCGCAAGTGATTTTCCATGCGCAGGCAAACCTTGTCACAGGAGCACAAGATGTTCAGGGCAAGATAATTTCAGTTGACTAACAAATGAGTCATTTATATTTCAGCGAGGCGTGTGGGGGAATATACAGTGTTTAATTAACATCCCCTTTCTAGCTTCGGAACAGGGTTTGCTTCCCCCGACCCCTCTGTAATACTTCCTCCCTGTGTCAATACACCAAGGAGAGGCAAAATTTGTAGGGGAAACAATGCACACTCCGTTAGAGTAATACAGAATCTAAATGATGGTGTATGAAATTTAGAAAGTGTTTGGCGGGTGGGGGTGCAATAGGCTCCTGACTCCAAATTAGGCCCCACTATACTACAACCACACAAGGCTGATAACCAGTGTGCTGACAATCTGCCGCTCAAACACCTAATTGGAATTCTGGAATGGAGAGCCTGATGCGATGCTTGTCAGTTTACATGCTGCTCTCTGCTGAAGCCACTTAAATGGATATTAAATTATTGTTTTTCAAAAGGGGAGAAAACAAAACATCCCCCCCCACATTTTTTGTACATGAGATATGATCAACGACCATTGCATTAACGTTTATTTTCACTACTGAATCAGCGAGAACTACGCTATGGTGTTTGCAACAAAAGGAGGGGCCATTTATATCAGTCTGGTTGCAAAACACAGCCACATGAGGGATGTTCACGTTACATTCGACGAACGTACAAGCTGTGCAAGTGTGCACATTGAGTTGTATGCTCATGCAGTTATTCACAGGTACCATTCAGTGAGTGTATAGTTTGGGTACCTGTGTACACAAAAGTTAATCTGTACAAATCAACATGTCTTCACTCTTTTGCACAAATATATGTAGATGAGAAGACAGCTTGTACCTGTGTTCAGTGTGACGTCTGAACAAAACTATGCCTGATAATACAATATACAATATACCAGACAAGTAACTTGTTAACATTGAATCTGATCCACCAATTTACCCATCAAGCAACTCTGTTCTGCAACAAACTAATTTAAATAGAGCTTACACAAAATATGACGAAAAACAAAATTCTAATTTTAATAGATATATGAGCATCCTAATATGTGCACACAATCAAACAATTTAACTTTTCATTGTGGCCAAATACAGAATCTGAAATGGGGGGTGATGGTAGGAGGCTCAGGCCTACAACAAAATGCAAATTAATACATTGGGCCATATTTCGCTGTAAACATGGTGCTGATAATGGTTGTTTTGGCCCATTCATACAGAGGCTGAGGAAACATGCTTCATGAATTTCAGATCATAGTAGGTGGAAACAATTTATTGTTTCCTTCAGAGGCTTTACTTTAGGTGCTGAGGGTCCTAGCAAATTGTGATTTCTAAAACATAATATTCACAAGGCAGAGAATGGTTGGAGCCATCCAGAGTGGCTGGGGCAACCCAGTCAGATGGGCGGGATACAATGAAGAAGAAGAAGAAGAAGAAGAAGAAGAAGAAGAAGAGGAGGAGGAGGAGGAGGAGGAGGAGGAGGCGGAGGAGGCGGAGGAGGAGAAAGGCTGTCTGCATTAGGAATTGTGGAATTCTCGTTCTTAGTTTACTCAGGTCCCCCCCCCCCTTTTACAGCTTATCCACATAAAGTATCAAGCAAATTATAGCCCTCTTGTGTTTTCCCCATGCTCCCTCCTCCTGTTTTCTTAGACCAAAAAATAAAATAAAAATCCAACTTGAAAAAGAACTGAACAGTAGTGCTATCTCTCTATAGGAGAATCAGCTTAGCACGATTCTCCTGCTTGTTCCACGGGGCCTGATCTTGCCGCAGGATTATGTGGCAGGTGAACTCCCCACATTTCTACTTTTGCCTTTCCCCAGAGCTTCCTGTCCTACTTTCACCCCACAGTACAAGAGGGTAAGTGGAAAAGAAGAGCACAAAGCATATAAAAATACTGCATGACATTCCATTTGTATTTGTGGGTTCAGAACTATCCCAGTTCAGCTGCAAAAAACTTTCTTTCCAAGCAGTAAGTGTCATATGCATCATGCTAATTTAACCTAAGTGAAACACGGACCAGAAAACTTGTCTCGTCCTTCCTCGCTCTCTTCTTGGAGTAGGGCATTTCCTGGCAACTGCAGCAGTAGTTTCTCATAGCCCTTTGAAGTAATTTCGAAGTAATCATGTCAAGCTGAAGTAATCACAATGGACAAAGGCCTGTAAGATATCTGAGCAGATGGCTCATGTTGGGTGAACTAGTGAGAGGTGGGGAGCAGGGTAGAGTCTGAAGGTGGCAGCAAGTGATCTGGGATGGAAGTTCTCAGGATGTCCGTACCAGATCCTATTCCCGCCTCCGTCCAGGCTCTGCCCTGCCTCTCCTTCTCACTGCTGTGGCATACTATCCAATTTGCTTCCAGAAGATGTGGTGATAGCCCACCAACTTAGCTTTAAAAGGGGATTAGAGAAATTCATGGAGGATAAAGCAATCATGGCCTACTAGTCATGGTGGTTAAAGACCATCTCTAGACTAGACGCAGCATGCCTTTCAATACCAGTTGCTGGAGGACACCAGCAGCAGAGGGCTATTGCCCTCATGTAGTGCTTGTGAGCTTCCTCAAGGCCACTATGGGAAGCAGGATGCTGGGCTGCTTTGTGTTCTTAAACTGCTTAGCCTAGAACAAGCTGTTCACTAGCAGAAATCTTGGCTTTCTCCTTCCTGTCCCAATGAAAGTTCTAGGAGCATTTGCGCTTAAATAGCATCCCCACAGCAATCATTTTCAGGTACATTTGCTCTTCTTCTTTTTTTTTAAATATAATTTTTATTAACCGACCAATCAAATCAAATCAAATCACATAAATTCCGAATTACAAAGCCGAATTTTAAATTTTTGTTGAGGGGACCCATATTTCAAGTTTCAAAGGAGGATTCCGATCATCTTCTTGCTACTGCGTTCATATCCAAATCAGTCCAGATAAAGTTCATAATTCTATCCAGTCTTATCTTGCTGTTTCCACATCTCATCTTGTTCGTACATTTTTTCTTTTTCCTTTATGCTCTCTTCTGATAATCTCCTTAAGCAGATAAACATCAATTATATCCTGTGTGGATTTTTCCGTTCGACCAATCCTCATATCGTGATGGTTTCCATATATCATCACTTTCATAAATAACATCGCTCTTTCCATCATTAATCTCAGGGTCTGTCGTTCTTAAGTCCCACTGAGGAGTCTCACCCACAGTATAAAAACAGCTCTTTCCTCCTCCCAGACTCAAGTCCTCCGACAGAGCTTACCAATATAGAATCATAGAATCATAGAGTTGGAAGAGACCACAAGGGCCATCGAGTCCAACCCCCTGCCAAGCAGGAAACACCATCAGAGCACTCCTGACATATGGTTGTCAAGCCTCTGCTTAAAGACCTCCAAAGAAGGAGACTCCACCACACTCCTTGGCAGCAAATTCCACTGTCGAACAGCTCTTACTGTCAGGAAGTTCTTCCTAATGTTTAGGTGGAATCTTCTTTCTTGTAGTTTGGATCCATTGCTCCGTGTCCGCTTCTCTGGAGCAGCAGAAAACAACCTTTCTCCTTCCTCTATGTGACATCCTTTTATATATTTGAACATGGCTATCATATCACCCCTTAACCTCCTCTTCTCCAGGCTAAACATGCCCAGCTCCCTTAGCCGTTCCTCATAAGGCATCGTTTCCAGGCCTTTGACCATTTTGGTTGCCCTCCTCTGGACACGTTCCAGTTTGTCAGTGTCCTTCTTGAACTGTGGTGCCCAGAACTGGACACAGTACTCCAGGTGAGGTCTGACCAGAGCAGAATACAGTGGCACTATTACTTCCCTTGATCTAGATGCTATACTCCTATTGATGCAGCCCAGAATTGCATTCAAGAAACTGCAGCCCGTGATCTAAGAATCCAAACCGTTCCTGTTTACACCATTTGCGAAGCCAGCTGTTCACTTCCACTATTTTTCCCTCTCTCCCTGGGCCACGTCGTTCAACTGGGAGGACAGATGAGATGACAATTTGTGCATTTAATTGCTTCAATTTCCTGCCCAGAGCCTCGTAGTCTCTTTTGATCTTCTGGAGGCTATTGCTTGCAGTGTCATTGGTTCCCACATGAACCAAGAGGAAGGGGTATTTGTCAGTGGGTTTTATGATTCCTTGCAGTCGTTCAGTTACATCTTGGATCTTAGCCCCGGGAGACAGCACACTTCCCGAGACATCTTGTCAGGCCCACAGATCACTGCTTCTGTTCCCTCAGTAGGGAATCCCCTATCACCACTACACGCCTCCTCTTAGGTTTGGTCAGGGTTCTTCCGTGAGCTGTCCCTTCCAAGGTCGCCTGCACATTCCCTGAGGACTGACTTTGCTGCTCGTCTTCATATACCTGATCAACTGTAATGAGGGAGAGATCCTCAAATGGAGTCTGCTCTTCGTCTTCCATGCTAGGGGAGAGGACCTCAAAGCGATTGTGTATTTCTAAACAATCAGAGCGAACCCTGGGCCTCCTACTTCTTTGAGTCACGTTTCTCCATATATCTGGCTCCTGTGTGAACTAGCCTCCTTCTCAGGGGAGTCCCCGTCTCCTCCTTGGTGGAGACGGTGTGCTCTGTTGCTTCCAAGAAGAGCTCCAGCTCTCTAATTCTTTGGAGCGTAGCTACACGTTCCTCCAGTTGCTGGACTTTGTCTTCTAAGAGGGCAATCAACATGCAACTGGTGCAGGAAAGCTGCCTGCAACCTTTGGCAAGATGGCAAACACTGTGCAGGAACCACAGGCGACTGCAGCTGTTCCCTCCCCCTCCATCTTGAGAACGTGTCGTTGGGGGTGGCTACAGCGGTCCTCCATCATAAAAAGCGTGAAGACAGGACAAATAACTCCTCCCCCCAAAAAACCCTAGGTCTCCCCCAACAAACGTTTGAGATTAGCTCCCCTAAATCTAAAAGATGGATCAAACTGCGCACGCCTCAACAGAAACCCTGCCCCCTCTGACCTTTGCACAGGGAGAGCAGCTAATCAGCCACAAAGAAACACACACACAAGAAAACCCTTTTTGCTCCTTCTTCAGCTGCTGCCCTGCAAATATGGCGACGGTATTTTTAACAGCGTCATTCCAGAGCTCTTAAACTTTCCACGCTTTTCTTAAAACATGCTTTGGTTAGGAACTTTATCTCCACATAGTCGTAAATCTACAGCTTAAGTCATTAAAGCGGCATTTCTGACTTGTGGGGGGGGTTTCTTGTTTAATCACATAGAGGAAAGAAAGAAAAGTTTTTTTCCCCTCCCCCATCCAGTCCCTTTGCCATACCGAGTCTTGGCTGTTTTCTCAAGATTGATTCTTGTTCTTCCAACTTGTCTTGTTTATCAGAGAACTCTTCAGTTAGCAGTCTTTACTCCCCCTCCTTCCTTGAAATATGTGCATTCGCTTCTTCCTAATTGTTCCTTTTGAAGTTCTTGCAGCTAGCGGCGCGGATCAGAGACAGTGTCCAGGAGCGCCGAAATCCACAGGAGGGCATTCTGCCTAGTGCTCCCATCCCCTCAAATTTGGGGGTGGTATAGGGCACAGCAGGCAAGGGCAGGCCCCCCCCCAATCCTGGGGGGGTAGGGAGGCTATTTACTCCCACCACAGCCTCCTAATTACCCCCTGTGGGTCGGAGAGATGTTATTGTCAGCCATCTTCCGATGCGCCCCTAGTGGCCCCTGGTACATTTGCTCTTCAACACCCCTTACTCTAGAAATCATTGCGGCCAAGTATTCTGCCAATGCCAACAGGAGGGGGAGGGACTTGGAAATCAATTAATGAGCAGTTTCAAAAATGTTGCAGCGAGGTAGCAGAGGCATTTTAAACCTCTCAAGGAGAAACCTTTCCTGACTGAAAACTACCATTGAGAATACTTCAGACAAAACAGAATGGGAATTACTTTAAAATGGGACTTAGCTTTGAGTAGCAGACTATGACCCACAAAAACCTTTGACATTTTTGGTGAAGTCTTTAAGGTAGCACAAGACTCTTTCTTTGTTTACACTGAAACTTAAACCCTACTTCACTAATGCATGCCCACGTTCAGCTTGCTATGGGGATATAGTGCTGCAAATTGAGGTATTTATTTATTTATTTATTTAATTTCACAAAATGTATATACCACTTGACTGTAAAAAAGAAATTCAAAGTGGTTTACAAAAAGATTAAACAAGAAAACTGAGGGGGGGGGCACCATAAAACATAACAAAGATTAAAATTACCTCAACTTTCTAAGCATCTGAGTAGGCCTGTCTAAACAAGAACATTTTAGCAGGTGCAGAAAATAGTACAGTGAAGGTATATGCTTGATCTCAAGAGGCAGGGAGTTCCTAAGTGCCACACTAAATAATTGAGTTCTTATAATGCAGAATAGGGGACGCGGGTGGCGCTGTGGGTTAAACCACAGAGCCTAGGGCTTGCCGATCAGAAGGTTGGCGGTTCAAATCCCCGCGACGGGGTGAGCTCCCGTTACTTGGTCCCTGCTCCTGCCAACCTAGCAGTTTGAAAGCACGTCAAAGTGCAAGTAGATAAATAGGAACTGCTCCGGCGGGAAGGTAAACGGCGTTACCGTGCGCTGCTCTGGTTCGCCAGAAGCGGCTTAGTCATGCTGGCCACATGACCTGGAAGCTGTACGCCGGCTTCCTTGGCCAATAAAGCGAGATGAGCGCCGCAACCCCAGAGTTGGTCACGACTGGACCTAATGTTCAGGGGTCCCTTTACCTTTACCTTTAATGCAGAATGGGTATTATGTGGCACCTGTAGTCGTGCCAATAATGTGGTCTTGATCACAGTTGTAACTCCACTTCTAGTTTATTGTGCAGTACTATAATCCAAGAAGTATTAAAGAGCTGTGAAGTAGCCCAATCCAGCTATCCAGTGACTGAAATGAGTGTGCACATGGTTTCACCTTTCTCTTAGGCAAATTTTTACAACCATGTTTAGCACGTAGTTACAGCTAAGATGAACAACTGTAGAGCTTTCTAGCCATATGGCCACCATATGCATTGATGCAGGCATGTTAACAAGTAACTGGCATACTACCACTTAGAAAATATCATTCCCGTTCAACTGATTGCACCAGTCTGGATTAGCAACCAGTTTACATCCGGGTAGATGGGAGGTGTCGATGCAATTATGAGACTAAGAGAAAGTCAAACTTATACCTACGTTACACAGGAGTAAGCCTTATTGATCTCAATGGAACATCTGAATAGAATAGAATCATTAAGAAAATAGCCAACCAAACAAACCTATTAATCTATCCACATAACTTTTCACCCTTATGTATCTCTTCTAATACAGAATTTTGAAATTAGGCATAGGATTTCCAACAATCTCAACTACTCATTATACTGATCATACTTAACACATTCCAATCACCTCTACTTATCTACCGTAAATAAATGAAAAAAAAACCTCAAAGCACTCCATCTTTTGCATTAGGATTTGATCTTGATTACCTTTTCCAGCAAACCAAAATTGGTATTTTTAACATACTGGATTAAGTGGTCTCTGAAGTACCCAGTTGTTTCAGAGGAGACTCTAGGGGATGAGTGCTAGCTCCTTAATCACAAGAGCTTGCAATCATTGTAATTTTTAAAAAGGCAAATGGGATTTACCCTCGTGACACAAACAGTAGACAAGCATTATCCAGAAGAAAGCTCAGTGATGCTAAATGTTGCACTGAAAATAGGGCCACAGTTTCCAAACTTGATTATCAGAAGTTCAAAATACATTTACTAGTGCTTAATGAAGAGAATTAATGTATCTTTTAAACAGGGATTAATATGTATGCAAATTAGGGAAAGGGTTTTTAAAGTAAGATTTTTCACTCATCATTTCAGAAAATGTGCTTTGCATCGTTAGGAAAAAAATTAATTCACATTGTCAGCAGATTCAATTTAGGTATTTTGCATGTAAACAATAGTGTGACTCAAGTCCTTTTCTAGTTTATATTTAAATTCAGAACCTGAATACTATAAATGCTAATTAAATACTCTATTTAATGGCAAAAATGAAGAGGCAAGCTAATTTCAATTTGCAGATTCCTCTAATTACAATGTTTTCCTTTGGAAAATGGAAATTGTATCTCAAATCTTTTAAGAAAAATGAATCATTAATCTTTATTCATTCACCTTTTAAAAAACTTTTTAATGCTTCTTTTGTATTAGGATTGATTCTAATGGAGATACAATTGTTTTTCCTGACAAAAGGCTTTTTAATATTAAATTAAATATTACCAAAGTTAAATTAGATTTAGCTCACAGATGCAAATTACATTAGCAATGCTAAAGAAAAATAACTATTTTTTTTATTTAAAAAAGGATATTAGAGAGGGGTTTTAAAAAAAAGAAATTATAGTAGATAGTAATGATTTTCACATAGACATATTTGGAAAAGGATTCATATATTATAGAGTACTATGGAACATTTATTCCTTTTTTAAGGCCCCGGCCTTGTTTTCAATTATAGTTACTTTCAAAACATGTATCTTAGCAAAATATGTACAATTGTTTAGTTGAATAGCATTTAGGAGCTGGTAACTTTCCCTAATTTGGGTCCCTGGAGTGGCTTCCTTTGGATGTAACACTAAACATTTGCTTAGAACTACATTGACAAGTTTTGGGCTTTTCAGCTTGCCTGATAGAACAATCTCTGTCTGCTGTTCTGGGGGTTTTCAAGGCCCTCTGGAGCTCAAGGAGGGGGCAGGAGGAGGAGAGGGGTGGGGAATCCTATTGCACTAATGGGACTCATTGCACTGGCTTCTGCTAGCACAACTACTTAGCTATATCTGGCTCAGGGTTTCAGGCAAAAAAATTCCCTAGCCCTGTTGTTGTTTAGTCCTTTAGTCGTGTCCGACTCCTCGTGACCCCATGTACCAGAGCACGCCAGGCACTTCTGTCTTCCACTGCCTCCTGCAGTTTGGTCAAACTCATGCTGGTAGCTTCGAGAACACTATCCAACCATCTCGTCCTCTGTCGTCCCCTTCTCCTTGCGCCCTCCATCTTTCCCAACATCAGCGTCTTTTCCAGGGAGTCTTCTCTTCTCATGAGGTGGCCAAAGTATTGGAGCCTCAGCTTCACGATCTGTCCTTCCACTGAGCACTTGGGGCTGATTTCCTTCAGAATGGATAGGTTTGATCTTCTTGCAGTCCACGGGACTCTCCGGAGTCTCCTCCAGCACCATAATTCAAAAGCATCAATTCTTCGGCGATCAGCCTTCTTTATGGTCCAGCTCTCACTTCCATACATCACGACTGGGAAAACCATAGCTTTTACTATACGGACCTTTGTTGGCAAGGTGATGTCTCTACTTTTTAAGATGCTGTAGCCCTACCTGAGATTAAACCTCAGACCTTCTGCATGCAAAGCAGATGCTCCGAGCTGCAACCCTTATCTTAAAAGAATGAGGAAACTAATTTGTTTATTCTTTTTATTACTAAACAATAGGGGGTGGGGAATGTTCAAATTTGCCCAGCAGATCCAAAGGGCTATATGTGGCATTCTGCGCCTTCTGTGGCTTATTTGGGGCAATAACCCCATGTGTACCTTCACAGCCTTTCAATATTAGCACCTGACTCCACGGAAAGCACGGTGGTGGCTGGAAGACAAGCTGGAGCTTCTGGCAACCAATCAAAAAACGGACTGGGACCACAGTTCTGTATGTTGCCCTCAGCTGCAAATTTCTAAATGTTGGTTGAGAGGTAGCATAAAGAACTGTGATTTGTGCTCAGGGCAAGTGATTCAGACCTACCATTCCCACAAGCTTCATGCAATCCAGGCAGAAAACAAACAGCGATTGGCAGAACAGTGTGAACTGGGCCTGAACGCCGACTATCAAAGCCTTAGCTTACAAAAAGAAAGATGTTCCCTGCAGTGCTAACCACTGCGATGGCATATGAGTAATTGCAGCCGAATCCTATACATGTTTTTTTCCTGCGGAACGAATTCCCACTTACCAGCATAGGTTTGTAGCCTAGGATTATTAAAAAGGGAAAGGAAGGCATATTTTTTCTTTGCTATGTAGAAAGGTAAATAGCTATTCAAAGCTTGAAGTTGCTGAGGGGAGTGTTTGTGTCAAGAAGAAAGGAATGACTGGGCAGCAAAAGGTGCTGTGAGACAGAATCATTATTGATTGCGCACAGTTCTTAGAAATTAAAAGCACAGTGCTTAGAACACAAAGACACACTGTTACATTTTCAAGCTCTGGGCTACATGTCATGTTGACCCACCATGCGGCTCAAGGAGGTGTGAGAAGGCCATGTTGACATCACCCTAGTAACAGCCAGAGGGAGCAATGACTCAGTCAGCAAAGGAACATAAAAACCAAACTTTGCCTCTATCTATTCCCTGTTTCCAGGCTCGATGCTCCCAAGCCAAAGGCTGAGTTTGGACTCTTGTTATTTTGCCTCATTGCCACCAACATTAAAAATCAACACTGGCTTGTAGTGAGAACTGCGCAAGGCTTGTATGTGGAAGATTGCTTTCTTGGGCACAAAAAACTTGAAAAGTTGAGGAATTCACTCCAAAGGCAAACTAAAGCTCTGGGGCCATGTCTGAATTTTGGCACATCTGGTGGTCCCGTTGGGTGGTGGTCTTGTTTCGGAAAATGATTTCTATGATGTTGGTTTAATAATACAGTCTCCATAAGCCCTTTGTTTGAATTGAAGGGTTAATTGGAAGGAACGGTTCATGCAAAGCATTATTAGTTAGTTTGGAACCTTTTGACAAAGACCAAACTTCTTACTGCTGCTAACTGCTGCAGCTGGAACATGAATTGGCTAAAACAATGGCTAGCTACAACATGGAATATGGTGGAAATTAACAGAATATGCTTGGCTGCAAGAGGGGAGAAAACACATAAATCAATATTATGATACAGGGATTCAAGGACTGCAGCCAACTAAGTTCTATTCAGAGTAAACCCAGTGAAATAAATGAACCTAACTTACTCATGCGTATTACAATGAATTACCCTGTGGATACAACCCTTGGTATATTTTTGAAAGCAAAGTAGATTTGATTTTTATACCACTGTATCTTTTATTATTGTATTTCCCCATATTTCACTTGATTTGCCATAGTATTTCTAATGTACTCATTTATCACCAGTATATTTCTTCCTGGATTGTTGTTGTAGCAGTAGTATCTGTTGCTAGGCACTGACTACACATAACTGAAAAACCTCCTCATATGGGACTTACATCTAAGTAAACACAAGCAGCTTCTGGTGATGTCAAAACCTGGACAATATTCACTATGGCTTATTAAAACAAGCCAACTTGAACCCATATTTGCTCTTTTAAGATGTGCACGGTCCACAGTGCAAGAAGTACCTGCGGCAGTTCACAGCAAATTTGCCTAAACATATGAAACTGTCTTGTACTTAGTCAGACAATATACTGAGTTCGTCAAGCACAGAACAAATAAATCTGTACTGGGATTCAGTGCAGCCAATGTGTGATCCTCCAGATGTTGCAGGAATATAAATCCCATCCTGCATGACTACTGGCCATGCTGCCTGGGTCTGAAGGGAGCTGAAGTCTGGCAAGACCCAGGTGTCACCACTTTGCCTACCTCAATCCAAGGTTTCAGGAGAGGTCTTCCTCATTCCCTTTACCTGAAATTCTTTAAGTGAACCAGAACTTTCAGAATACATGTGCCCTTCCCATAGCTTATTTACATGGCACAAATCTGGGAACAAATACCAATTGTCAAAGGTGTATTTAGTGTATTTGTCATCGGATTAGCTTGATGAAAATAATAAAAACAATAGAATCATAGAATTGGAAGGAATCCAAAGAGTCATCGAGGCCAATCCCCTGCATTGCAAGAACCACAGCTAAATGAATGCAGAGAAATCACAATGCAGTCACAAAAGTGCATACAATCAACGAGTTTAAAGATGTTTTAAAAAGGCTCACCTCCAGTAGACAAGAACAGCAATAAGGAGTATGAGGCACACAAACGTCAAGGCTGAGACTACAATGAGGGGAATGATCCATTCCATTTTGCCAGTAGCAGGTCTGGTTGCCATACTGGAAATATTCTTGTCTGCTGCATGGCAAATAACAACAAAATCAGTAACTGCAAGAAGAAACTGAACGGCTACAAAATAATTTGAACAGCAGGCCATTTTGCACATTACACAGAGGCAAACCTGAGTTTGCCATCAAGCATGCACTTGGCAAGGAGCTACAACCAATTACAGCTCCCTGACAAGTATGGTACTTCTAACAGTGAACCAATATTCATTGCTTTCAATTTCCTTTTTTGGTGTGGATGCAATACATTTCTTGTGTACACCTGGAAATGTAATGTATAAAATGGCCCAAAGTGAAAATGGTACTTCTTTCCACATGAGTGAAGACCAGAGTTCAAAACATAGACAAGTGTTTTCTGAAGCAAGGAATTACACTGGAAACACAAAACCTTGGTTGCGTTACATAGGAATGTTTTGCTATCATGAAACATTCTTTAGGTTCCAACTTCAAATGGTCATAGGAATTGGGTGCATGAATATTGTTTCAGTTTTCCCAGTTTTTGCCCATGACTGTTTTCATCCTCCACCCCCTCCCAACATTTCAACATTGTAATGTATAAAGAATCATTGACTGCAGCGTTTTTCACTGTGAAGTTTAAAATGTATCTGAAGGCGTAAATTGCTGGATTCTCACAATAGATTATTGTAGAAAGATAGAAACCTGAGTTCATATATGCCTCAAAGCAAGACATTTTGGGTAACTTCGTGGAAGACAATGTGGAGAGTACACAGATCAATGTCGACAATTTCTAAAATCTTTAAACAAGGCTAACAATGGGGAAACAGTTGCACATATTTAAATGAACTAACAGGGTCCTCATATAGTTTCTCCTATATGTCACAGTTCAACTCAGGTTTCTACATGGCTTAAAGCAAAGATTTTACCAATGTTCATATTTTTTATCTCTGTTCACAGTTTGAATTATGTTATCCAAACCAGCATGGCTTCTGCAAAAGTAAGTCCTGTCTCACTGACCCATTAGAGATCTTTGAGAGCATGGAGATAGAGGTGATATAGTTGACATCGTATACTTGGACTTTCAAAAAGTTTTCAACGAAGTATCTCACCCAAGATTGCTGAGTAGCTTATAGAATAAGAATATAGGCCCTCTTATGTTTCATGAACTGGTTAAGTAACAGAAAGCAGACAGGATGAAAAAATGGACAGTTCTCTCAATGGAGGGAAGAAGAAAGTGGGGTCCCTCAAGGATCAGTATTGGGACCTGTGCTTGTTCCATAAACTATCTAGAGTTTGGGGTAAGCAGTGAGGAAGTCAAGTTTGCAGATACAAAATTGTTCAGCGTGGTTTTTTAAAAAAGAACTGCAGAAGGATCTCTCTAGAACTGAGTGAATGGGTGGTAAAATAGCAAGCACAATTCAATGTAAACAAGTGTACAAAACATCTTAATGGGGCAAAACATTTTAATTTCACATATATGCTCATGGGGTGTGAACCAGCAGTGACCGACCAGGAACAAGACCTTGGGGTTGTAGTGAATAGCTTGATGAAGATGTTGATCAGTATGTGGCAGCTGCGAAAAAAGGCAATTTCTATGCTAGGGATCATTAAGAAAGGAATTGAAAATTAAACTGCTGATATCATAACACCATTACCCAAATCTATGGTGTGGCTGAACTTTCATTAGTCTTCAGCAAAGCATAAAGTTTTTTATTCTATTTTATGATCACAGAGTTAGGGTCTCTTGCAATGATGCAGAATCTGGATTTCTGAGCTGGTCCTCTGTTAATACATACGGAAAGTCTTTAAGTGTGATGCTCTAATACTGCGATGGGGATCCTGTGGCTCTCCATATACTGTTGGACTACAACCTCCATCAGCCCCAACCAGCATGGCACAATGGCACTTAACACTGGCCATAAAACACAGTTAAGTCAGTTAGCTAGACCAGTTTCCTAAACAAATCCTGATCGGGAAGGCAAAATTTGTTCTTGGATTCCTGACTGTAGTTTGTTTGGAAGGAGAGAAAACCTCAAAGAATCATAGAATTGGAAAGGACCCAAGGGTCAATAATGTGAGCCTTGGTTTGGACACAACACTAAGCTAACACTCAATGAATTGTCTCACTACTGCAGGAAGGGAGAAGTAAAGCGGGAATGTGCAGAAGCTAATTTGGTTATGGCCAGTATTATGTCCAAACAGCCAATGTCAAGACATCCCTCAAGATCTCTTGAATGGATGCAATCAGAATAAGCAAATGCATCAAAAGGACCACAAACAAGCCACCATAAGCAGCAGAAGTGATCACTGTCAAGTTTGTGGCACCACTAAGCATCTTGGTCTCCTGGCCAATGAGATGGAAACCTGCATACAGGACATTCTTATTTTGTGTGTGTTAGATTTCTAGAACGCTACACAGCAGACTTCACAAGATTAAGCTGGGAACAGCGATACTGGTAAACCCATGTCTCTTTATACATTTACACAGCACTTCTAGAACGCTTTACAGATTTTTAGCACATTTGTCTTATGCGAATGGGCATAATCACTGCAACATGAAAGCAGGAATAATTCTTGCAATATGGGCAACAGACACTGGGATACAGTGGCTTGATCATGATTACCTAGAAAATTCATGGATGATCAGGCATTCAAACCAGCAAATTTCAGTTCCAAGTCCAACACCAAGTCCTAATTAGGTGTTTTGCATTGTATGCGTGGATAATGTGCCGGACGAGCCTGCCTTTTGGTCTGATTTCTTCTTATGTGACGGCAGCAGCCAGTGGCAACAGAGGAAAAGGTGTCTAGCTTAAGACTTTAGTAGTTAGCACTACTGACATATTATTAGACATAATTAGTTTGGAAGAAATATTCCATTTTAACCAACAATTTGGATCTACAAAAAGAGGAAGGGGAGAGAGAGAGAGCTGTCCCAGAGCACAGGAGAGGTGGAAGCATAATAGTACATTTGACTAGAAAGCCACATTTGAACATTTGCTTTTTAAAAGCAAATCTTAAAAGTATTTACAGCAAATATAAAGGGAGTATTCAAAAGTACCAGCAAAAGTAACTGGTGGTGCTCAGTGCTAGCAGACAGTCCGCAGTACATCTGGGCTACCAGCAGGGGTCCAGCACTGAGAAGCCTATAAAAATGTGGCCTGCTGAGTAATACTGAAGGAAAATGTACGTTAAACAGAATGACACAGACGGTTCTGGTTCCCTGCATCCCAACAACAAAAACAACAACCGCCACCCAGCATTTTCAGCTTTCCGTTTTAAACAAAGGCAGCTCAGCAGCAATAGACAAATATAATGTATCCTTTTTGTAACTTTGCCCATTTTTGGGGGGGGGTAGGGGTGAGGAAACTCCAGTTTTGCTAAGAAATGCAAACACTTTCCTGTGGCATATGTCACCGCTGAATTAATTCAGTTTGCCTTTTACTGGCTTGGAATGCATCCCAGTAGGAAGGAATAAAAATTATTATAGCGTATCTGCTTCAGGGAGTCCTACCTAACATGATCACTGGCACTTTAAAAGCCATTTCTCCACAAACTGAAATGTGTAACTTATTCCATAACAATTGCTTTCCCGAGGAAAGCCTCATTCAGCAGTTTTCATCCATTTCAGAATCTGGGCCAGGAGAAATAGATGAAACTGTTAAGGCAAGATATTACAGGGATCGGGGCGGGGGCACCGGATAAGCATATTAACTTCTGTTTGTCTGCCCACCCTAATGGGCTCTTGAGAATGGACACTTGGTTAACATAACATAACAGATGATACATGTTATGAAGTCACCTTTCTGTGTACCAGAAAGAAAATTATCTCTCATCCTTTTAAGCATTTTATTTCTCATTCTTCTAGTAACATACAGGCAGACGCCACAGAACACAGTACAGTGGTACCTCGGGTTACATACGCTCCAGATTACATACGCTTCAGGTTACAGACTCCGCTAACCCAGAAATAGTGCTTCAGGTTAAGAACTTTGCTTCAGGATGAGAACAGAAATCGGGCTCCGGCGGCGTGGCGGCAGCAGCAGGAGGCCCCATTAGCTAAAGTGGTGCTTCAGGTTAAGAACAGTTTCAGGTTAAGAACGGACCTCTGGAACGAATTAAGTACTTAACCCGAGGTACCACTGTATTACCAGAATTCCACCATGCAATGAACACCCATCCATTCAACTGGAGGACACACATGAGCCTATGGGAGCATGAAACCCTGTGTGCAAATGGATCAATGCATACTGTTTCCAGCACAGTACAAGCCATTCAAGTATAGACAGCTTTAAAAACCAGTAACTGACTAGCTAAAGCATTTTACTCACTGTAACGCGAGAGGCAACAGCAGCATACGCTACTTTCCATTTAGTTGCAGGTATTTCTCTCGCTTCCCTCTACACCTTAGTATGTCCTTTTTTTCTGTTGAGACTGGCAACACTTTTCTACAGTGTCATATTGTGTATACACAGTCTGCCAGCAAAATCTGGTCTGATTTTCTTTTGTTTATCTGCATGCAAACTGTCTTAGTGATTGCAGGCTCCTACACGCGGCAGTGCAAAACATTCACGAATCACAAGAAATTATAACTTAATAATTCTTGCCACATATGGAGAATGGGGGGGAGAGGGAACCCACACAGATGCTTAATTATCCTAATGAGGTTATTCCCAAAGGCTTTTGCACAACCTCAAGCTTGTTTTTTAAAAATTTTCTGTACAACTGAAATTCAGACAGCAACACTGAAGGCCTAGGCGTACAGAGGCTAAATGAGCCTCAACACACAAAGGATCATCTTGGTGACTATGCCTATTGAAGGGAGAAGATCAGAGCATATCAGGATAAATAGGGGAGAAAGGGAGGGAGGTGGCAGTACTCCAGTGAGGCTATTGGTTTAATCCAGGGGTCAGCAAACTTTTTCAGTGGGGCCCAGTCCACTGTCCCTCAAACCTTGTGGGGGGCCGGACTATATTTTGAAGAGGAAAAAAAATGACGCAAGAGCACTACAAGCCCTGGTGGCTGCTTACCTGTGTCTTGCGAGCAGCAGGGGCTGGCAGCAGTGGGACGATGAGCGGTGCACAAAAGGGCCCCGGGGAAGGGCTGCTTTAAATGGCAGCCACTCAAGCGCTGCTGCTGCTGGCCCCAACAAAGCCCAGCCCCCTGCCTCCTCTAGGCAGGGCGGGGAGAAGCCAGGAGGAGGGAGGGAGGAGGTGCCGCCGCCGCCGTGTGAGGGAGAGGAAGAGGGAAAGAATATGCGCACTGGAATCCGTGGCGATTCCCAGACTGTTTGCGGGCCGGATCCAGAAGGCAATTGGGCCTGATCCGGCCCACAGGCCTTAGTTTGCCGACCCATGGTTTAATCCCTGCAGAGTATAGGGAGGGGAGGGGAGAATCTGGCTAGATTACTGTGATCTATTCCTGATGTACACTTGGAAATCAAACATGGAAATCCTCTTGGTTTTGACAATTGCAGCTGCTTTGCTCCTTTTCCCCTGGACTCCTGGTTTATTTCTCCAGACAAACCCATGAGCCATAGAACAAATCTTTATGGTTTGTCTGGAGTGAAAGAAACCATGATTCAACACAAGGCCAAACTATGGCTCAGTTCAGAGCAGCAGAACCAAAGAAGGAACAAAGTGGCTCATCACTCCATGTAGTCAGCCCTCACCATGGGGATTCTTTCCACACCACCACCAATTGTTCCTATTGGCAGTGTGCACAGGTTCAACCACATAGTGGTTTACGGGGGTCTTATAGTGTGAGAAGGCCCCAAGCAGCTACTGAACCACCAGTGTTTTCACCAGCCTGAGAAACTCAATGCTTGGAAGATAGATTTGTAAGTAATAAACACAAGGCACACAATTAGTATGACAATTGCTAAACATTTATTTAGCAGGAAGGAAAGCAACACAGTACGCAGAACAGATGTAGGTACAGGATAGACATAATTCAAGTTAGACAAGATGTGAAGGCAAAGAAGTGAGCTGAGAAAGGAGCACTAAGTGTTGCCTTGTACCTAAGCCCCTGTTCAAACTCCTGGCAGATGGGTGGCATAGAAATAATAAAATTATTATTGTTGTGGTTTAGGGTTTGAAGGACAAAGAGATAAGGAAGAGGGAGAAAGGCACTATATAGGGTTGAGATTTGGGGCTCCTATGTGGCCCTCCAGATTTTGCAGGACTACAGCTCCCAGCATCCCTGACTTCTGGCCATGCTGGCTAAGGCTGATGGGAGTCAAAATCCAGCAACATCTGAGGGGCCACAGGTAAGATTCTCCAACTCTGCTCTAATGTACGATTTTGTCTTTGTGGAAGGTGTTTTGTTGACTTTGGGGATGTTTGTATCATTATCGCTTGCCACTTGCTTTGTGATTTCATCTCACTGAGCTGTTTTTAAATATTGCACAATGCATTGAATGTTGGGAAATATTTTAAAACAAACTTCAAGCAAATCAACAAACCTAAGCTGTCAAAAAGTAGCTCTTGACTTTTCTACTGAATGAGTAGAGAAGAGGAAGGAAAAAATAGATAACATCACTGTCACTTTATCCAGGGAAAGCTGGTCTCCCCTTTGTGGGTCTATAGGAAACTGCAACTGTTTTGGAGGAAGCTAGCTTTTTTGGGTTGATGGGCTATTTTCACTCCCAGCCAACCTTCTGGTGGGCATGTGTCAGTGATGAGTTTGACCACCCCACACTGTCACATGCATTTTTTTGGATGCACAAACATGTTCCCACACACAGAAGACATAACCACAAAACTCCCCAATCTCAGTTGAGATGTGCAGATCAGCTGAGGGTCATCATCCCATCACCATTCATCCAATGATTGACTTTATGACTGGGGAAGGGGACATTTATATCTTCATCAGGGTAGTGGGCTGATTGACTGCTTTATTTTCTTTTTACAACCAATAAAAAGAATGGAATCATTTGGTGGTGGGGATTGCTTAGGGGATGGATTAGGTCTCCCCAGATGGGGGAATGGATCAGCCACTTCTGAACAATTCCTTCCATTCATTTCTTCAATGGATGCAATTTTTCTTCAATATATTCCTACTGCTAACTTCCAAACAGGACTAAGTTATAAGGCCATGGTGGGTGGTAAAATCTGGCAGTATACTTGCTCCTTTCCCATTCTGGGGGACTCTGGGGTTTCCCCATAGATTCTCAGGTATTCAATCAAATGGGACTGAGTTCTTCCCAGTGCCAGGAACACACTGGATGATTATTACTCCTCCTCTAACAACCAAGTATTTAAACAATCCATTTTTAACATTTTAAAAAATATTCCTAATAGACCAATAATTCAAGTCACATTTAGCTGACTATATAGCTTCCAGGATCATATGTGGAGGTGTGTTTGTGTACATGTATGCAAGACTGGCCCTTCATTAGTCCTTTTCAAATGCTCTATGGAGGATAATGTCAGAAAAAAGAGGCTGGGTGCCCAAGTCAGTATTTCATTTTTGAATGTGAGCTCTTTTAGAACTCCTGGGCGAATGCCATCTTATCTGGTTGAATCACCCCTCCCAAAACCAATGAATTTGCTCTTCTGTACAACTTTTTCTTCCAATTCACCATCCAAGAAGAATTGTTGGAGTGTGGCCTCTTTCCTATACCCTCTTTGTGGAGACAGATGCAAAGAACTCATCTATCCTGTCATCCTTGAGTGCTCCTTTTACACAGTGGTGGTCCAGTGGCCCTACTGCTCCTTCGGCAGGCCTCCTCTATACAACGTATTTGAGAAACAAAATTGTAGGTTTTTTTTTAAAAAAATTATCCTGTTGCACCCAACATCCCTTTGTTTTACATATAATACACCTGGCAGAAATTATGTTCTTGAGTTTTCCCCAAGCTGACTTGGATTGCACTTCCACTTTTTAAAGGACGGCTTCTACTCTTTTATTAGCTTCTGTGCCTTCCCACCTCACTATTATTCAATATGATTTTATTTAACAATATTGCCTGTGACTAAAAACAACAGCAAAAGAGGCAAAGGAGAAAAGAGGGTGGAAGAAAACAGGAGAGAAAAAGTGAAGTAATTTACATTAAGATTTCATAAGCAGATTGGTGAGAGAAATTGAAGAAACCTACCAGCCTCTGAGCTCAATAAACAGAACACTGGTGCACACCCAAACTCACACCTACACAGAGAGAAATTCAGGCATGCAAGTAAATTGAGAAACAGGATACCTAGTTTAAAATTAGCCAACAGGAGGAAGGTGTCATCCCCTGCTTCTCACATAGTAGATTTGCCCATATACTGAGTGAATTTTGAGTTCTGAAACCAGGTACAATAGCACTAGAGGACTGCTTGTCTTGTTCGCCAAATAGAAACTGTCTTGAGTAACCCAAATACTGATTAAAGTGGACAGGGCAAGGGGGTGTTGTGTGAAGTCATGAACTCAGGCCGCTATAAAAGACCCACAAATGAAAAGAAGCTTGGGAGGTGTGTGGATGGAATCAACCAAGGCTACTTAATATGAGTTGAATATGGTTCAAAGTAAGCCTACACCTATTGCAGTTATTCCATTCTCTAGCAACATTTGGGGTGATGCTTCTAATGCAAGCAAGATGAATCTTCTTAGGAAGGTGTGGAGAATTGTCACGAGACACACAAACTATTTATTTCCATTTAGGGTTTATGACATCTACCCTTCCTTTTGCCGCCCCAGATCTGGATGCTGGATTCCATGCTGAAAAATTTAATGTACGAAATAATCATGAGCACAGTAATTACAAAAGGGTTTGATAGAACATGTAATGAAGCTTCCTGAAAGCATGAACCCAAATGTTGGTGCTACAACACTACAAAAGCAGCCAAAAAGCATCAGTGACATTTTGTTGCGATGAACAATTTCTGACACACTCCCAGTCCCGACCCCACACTTTCCCCTCCCTGGTACCTACACAGTTAACTCACCTGGATTAATGGTAATAAATCTGTTGTCTTTTGGTAAGGGTGTCGTTGATGCTGTCTCTGGTCTTATTGGAATTTCTCGAGTGTATTGTTCATTTGTGTATGCTGGTGGCACTTGGGTGGAAGGGACTGTTTCGTATTGAGAGTCTGTTTCCGTATCTCCTTCTTGTCCGGGACTCCTACCTGTTGGGAAAATGTTTTGGCTTTGCCCTTGATCAGGTATGGTTTTATTCCCTCCCTCCGTAGTCCTGTTGGGAGCAAGAGTGGTGTCTGTAGCTTCAGTGTTATCCTGTACCTCGGCAGCCTCAGTCGTAGCATTTTTCTCTCTTTTTTCCGAATCCTTTTCTCTCTCTTCTTCATGCTCTCTCTCCCCATCCTCGCTCTCGCTTTTCTCGTCCTTTTCCCCATCCTCTGCGCCTTCATTGTCTTTTGTGAGGGCGGAATCGCTTTCCGGGGCTGGAGAGGAAGATAAAGCCTCTGTGGTAGCGAGGACGGGCCTCGCCGACTGTTTATTGGTCGAGGCAGAGGTCGGGAGGCGAGTTGGCCAAACGGTGCTAGGAAAAGAGGAAATACCACTACTGCTAAACCCAAGGCCTGCAAGCAAAGTGCTGGTGACCACAGAGGCCACCGTTGCCTGGCTCCCACTGGAGGAAGGCCCCATTCCAGTTGCCATGGATACAAAGGAAAAGGGGAGGCCTGAGGAAGTCCAAGTAGAAGATCCAGAACTGATGGGAGCCATGTCGGCTGATGGTGCAGGAGAAGCTGTAGGCTTGAAGAAATCACCAGGGGGAACAAGAGAAGAAAACACAGCAGAGAGAGCATCAGTAGAGGTACCTGACATGCTACCTCGGCTCTTTTTTCCTTTTGATTTCCTTTTCTTTCCAAACACTCCATTCTGCCCATTATTCTGTTTAAATAAGACAAGTATATTTAAACAATTGTGGTTAAAGCTAGCCGGCAAAACAACACAGAGATTCACAAGACAAAGAAAACAGAAGGCTGAAGACAACTATGTTACGACTGAGGCCCAGCTCAAATCAGAGTTATAGTTTCTTTCTTTATGATCAAGGAAGGCATAGCAATGAATTTCACAGTGGCATTTGGGTTTATTCCCTCCCAACCCCCCGCATGCAGGTATGATCTACTCAAGAGTTAAAGTATTCTAAATCCAATTGCTTTCAGTAGGTGAGTTAAAGCAACAGAAGCTTAAACAACACAGAGATTCACTGTGTGAATCTGAAATAAATGGGATTTTGAAAAATAATTCTAGGTGGCTTGCATAGACACGTTTAAAAACTTTAAAATAATGCTATATTGTTTTTCTGCATCTCTGGGGAATTTCCACTTGAATCCCATTTTGTCAAGACATTTTTACTCAGCTCCAACGAATATAAAAAAATAAGTAAAACATAGGGCCGCGTAGTGCATTTGCTATATTTTACTGCTCCATTATAATTTTGTTTGGATGTAATTTTCATTATGTTTAGCACATAGTAAAATGTTATTATGTTTAGCTTGGTAGCACATCCTTACCTACTTCTTTTAAAGAAAAAAAGGATATGACCTTTCTGCCAACCCACTCCTCAGTTTTAAATAATGGAATAGAGTCTAACAGATCAATCAAGCAGAAAAGGAAAAGGTATGAGAAGGGTTTGTGGATTTTTTTTAAAAAAAGATTAATTTAAATAATAATTAGTTTGATTAGACCTACAAGTTTTACTTCCCTGATAGTTTCATCCTATTATAAAGCTTCACCCAGTTTTCATCAATCTTATGCTTGCAATAGAAGAAGGAATTTTGAACATCATTCTAGCATATATCATTGATGTTTAGAATTTTTTACTTTTTACTGCTGATTGCGTGGCTGCTATCAAAAGCCAGTTCCAAACAGGACTAAACAAAACCAAAAATAAAATGGTGATACTATCTTCTCACTCTTTTGATTCACATCAGCAGGTTCCCCTCAATTAATTACAATGCTCTTTGGTGTATTATTCAGTGTAAAAACACCTTCCCAATTTATTTATTTTCAAAATCCAGTTTCACTAACTTGCCTTAATTTAACACATTCAAACATATCGGCATAGTCCTAGGATCATAAGTAATACTGAGTTATAACCAATGATGAAAGACAAAAAAAGAACTCTGCATCAAAATCATTTGATTCTTTGAATTTTAATCAGGACGTTTAAATCAGGACTTAAATCAGGACTTAAATCAGGACATTTACTATATAACGCTGCCACCTGCTGGAGAGAACATTGAAGTACTTTTTTTTAAAAAAAAAATGCTTTTCTATTCAATTCAATGATTCATGTCACTTACCACTCCTGTTTTCACTATCCTGGTTCCTTCAAAAATTCGAGTAGTATTAGCTGGGGAAGGAAAAAGTAGTAATAATCTTTAAGTGGATTAAGTTTCAAACAACATTAAACACTATAATTTTATGTTTTTGTCATTTCAGTTTCTAGCCTAACGATCCCAGGGTGAGTTACAGTAAAAATAAATTTAAAAAGGCTCCAATAGTCTGGATTCAAAGATAAAGAAATGGCTGTTTTCCAATCTTTTTTTTCAATAGCTTGTATTGAGGCAGAGGGGAACTATAAACAAGCTTATTCTTTGGAATGAGAATTGAGACTTCTAAATACTGTCCCTTACCCTTGCTCTGCATTCCCACAAGCCAGCAATGCATACTGCAAGATTATGAAATGAATTTCCTATCGCTATACTTTTCCTGCTTTTCCTGTCAAACCATCTCTTATCCCCTCTCCACCCACAGTTCTGCTACCTCAAGTCTTTAGGCAGTCAGGGGTCAACACTTATAACTGGGCATGTGTGGAGATGCCACCACAAATGATAGTATGCCTTGTGTAAATATAAAATGGCCGTCGAGGGCCCAGTCCGGCCTTGTGCGAGGGAGGCAAGCTTCTGTTTCGGGAATTAAAAGTTCAATTATTACTCCTGACACAATTGCCTCAGTTTGGATCTGTGTCAGTAGAAACATTGTCAGGATTATATCATAGGAGTGGTTGAATACCCAGCTGTGTTTCTGTGTCTGCAGCTTCAGACAGGCAGACATTTTTGAGGATCAAACTCTCCTTCCTGAGAGGTGTATATGATTTTAAAATATTTAAGCTCTCCCCATGAATACAAAGAGGCATATACTCTCTGATAGCTACCAGCTTTTTCTTTTTTCTTTTAAAGGGGATTGTAACACATTTCAAACACAGGAGATGTGAGAACACGTCACTAAACACAGGAGATGTGAGAACACGTCACTAAAGTTACAGGGAACCAGGCAGAGGGCCTTCTCGGTAGTGGCGCCTTCCCTGTGGAACACCCTCCCACCAGATGTCAAAGAGAACAACAACTACCAGGCTTTTAGAAGACATCTGAAGGCAGCCCTGTTTCGGGAAGCTTTTAATGTTTGATGTATTATAGTATTTTAATATTCTTTTGGAAGCCGCCCAGAGTGGCCGGGGAAGCCCAGCCAGATGGGTGGGGTATAAATAATAAATTATTATTATTATTATTATTATATAAACCTGAGCACGGGGTCATAAGAACAAGACCACTGTTGTGAATGCCAGTGGTCTTTTTTTATCTTTTGCTCTGCAAGAAAAACACTTCCACGTTTTTCAACATCACAGCCCCATTTGCAATGTCAAACCCGTAACAATACATAGCTGGTATAGTTGGGGTTGGTATATGACAGCAAGCATTTGCCATAGGAAGAGGAGTAACAATTTTGCAAAATTTGGTCTTCCAGATTTTTTTTAGAACATTTAAAGAACTTTTTAAAGTACTTTTTAGCCCACTCCATTATTTTTCTCGGGATTCATATAGCATCTGAAGCATGCTGGATCTGCAACAATAGCACCGGCCAAGGGTCAGTTCTCTCTCCCAATTTGGGATGATGGAAATGAACTCAGTGGTTTGTCATACTGTGAATCATGTCAGCAAAGTTTTCTCTTTCAATTGCGTTTCCACTTTATGCGATTTTATAAAAGCACTGTTCCTAAATACCATGCCAGCTTGACCACCCCTCCCCCGGACTTTAAACTCTACACACTTTTCCCTGGGCAAGGGAACATTACAAGAGAACAGGATAATTGCATGGTTTTTACCTTTAAAGAGCATTGTCTGGCTAAAATCACTGCGCATGTCATTTCGGCACACTGCTTGAACTCTGAACAGATAAAGGATGTCAGGTGAGACATGGCTAATGATGGCTTTCTGTTTAAAAAAAATAGATATTATTCAGTTTTATCCCTCCCAACTGGATTCTGAACGATCAGTCTGTAAAACAAAAAGAAAACTTAGAAGAGAGTTTACACGAGGGGCAAGCTTATCAGAGAGAAACCCACCCTCTGGAGCAGGATCTGCGTTGAGGAGAAATGCCAAAAGGCACAGAGGAACATACAAATTCTGCAGGATTTATGCAATTTTGGGGGCAGAAGCAAACATCAGCCTTTGTTTACAATAAGCAGTGGGCACCAGATGAAACTAGCGATGAGGGGATCTGCGGAATCATGTAACTCAGCCATGCCTGACTTCAGAGTGTTAGAGGAGCATCTGTCTGCACAGGAAGAGGCAGTGGCAAAGATCAGCTACCATTTAGCAGTTGCCTTTGTGAAGCAGAGATGCCACAGGGGAGTGTGACTCAAGCCCAGAATACAAATTTCTAGGTCGCTGGAAGGAACGCCGAATGCACCAAGTTCAATCATTCTGTTCTAAGGTGGGGAACCCTTTTAAGCCCAGGGGTCATTTTTTCCTTCTGACAACCTTCCCACACTGTCAAATTCAAGGACATATTCCAGCCAGGCAAAAACATTCAAAGCAGCTCCAATAGGGGATGTGGGTGGGGACGAGGTCTGGCCTTGCAGAGATTCCTGAGGGTCAGAAAGAGAGGCTTGGAGAGCTGGATGTAGTCCTTCAAATGTTGTTGGATTCCACTTCCCATCAGCCCCAGGCCACCACAACTACTTGTCACAGATAATGAGAGCTATAGTCTAACAAACATGTCGAAGACCACAGGTTCCCTAGCGCATCCCTGCTCTAAGGGGACCAAAACGCATTTACAAATATTTATACGATCTGAAGAGATACCAGAGTTTTGTAACTGGATTTGTAATGGCTCTTAGTCAATCAAAAACAGCAAATGATTTACAAATTTTCCAAAAATAAAATGATAAAAGCAGCTGGTAAACAGAATTTTCAAAGTATGGGGGGAGGCTCCAGATTTCTGTCCCTTTGCCATACTGTGATAATGTATCAGATACTAAAGGTCTGTGTGACCTTCTGACTTGGTTAGCCTCAACGTGACTCAAAAGCCAGAACAGGCCTCATCAGAAAAAGCTGACGTGTGCTGGGTGTCTGTTAACCACATGAAATCCTTGTCTGTGTAATCAAAAGTTTGCTTTCGCTAGGCACAATGGAAAGATTATTCTAGTTGCTCTTGCAGAATTTCTTTTTGTCAAGAAATCAGAAAGCTTTCTTTGGGTCATGCACTCATCAGAGGTTTACTTGGAGACGGATCATGTGAAAATTAGAATATTCCCTAAAACTAGTCTTTAAGCTAGTTGAAAAAATTGAGGACTTTTTCACCGGATCCTTGGTTCACACATCATGTCAGGTCGCTTTGGAAGGTCAGAAGACCCT